ATACATAATTTCTAGTGTTTTAGTGCAGGGTCAATGACCTTTGACCCTCAAAAGGAAATTTCCCCCCTCCTCCTCTCTTTTAGGAATAAATAATAACCCCCATTCCCGACACATTAAGTTGAAATTAGCCTTTTCGATTTGTTTGTGCTCATTTTTACACAATATCGTCATTTTCCTGTTAGTAATAGGACATTTTAGTGATAAAACGTATGCTTTTTCACCTTTGACCTCATTTTTGGAGGTCAGGATTTTATTCCAAGGGTCAGTAGTTATTCTATGTCATCTTCTTACGTAATCCTGTGCATTATGACAGCAAAATCATCTATATACCTTATTTTGTTGCTGAGATACAATGTATAGTGTTTTAGTGCAAGGTCAATGACCTTTGACCCTCAGAAAGGAAATTTACCCCCGCTCTGCTCTTGGAATAAATAATAACCCCCATACCCCCATATCCGCCAAAATAAGTTGAAATTAGCCTCTTTGATTTGTTTGTGCTCATTTGTATATGATATGGTAATTTTACTGTTATAAATATGAAATTTTAAGAGATAAAATAGTTTTTTGACCTTTGACCTCATTTTCGGAGGTCAAGATTTTATTCTAAGGGTCAGTAGTTATTCTATGTCATCTTCTTTTGTAATTCTGTGCATTTTGACACCAAGATCATCTATATACCATATTTTTTTGCTGAAATACAATTTTAAGTGATTTAGGCAGAGGTCATTGACCTTTGACCTCTAATGAAAAATTCTCCCCAACCCCCATACCTCCTCCCTTTTTTTTGGTAGTTGTCTATACCCATACCTACCCAAATCAGTTGAAATTAGCTTCTTTTAAATTTGTTCACAGATTGGCTCAATATGTGGCTAATTTAGGGTTACTAAGTGAGGAAAATCGTCACACAAAGTGAATGCAATTTTTTTTCACTACCGTCATTTCGTGAAGACAGCGACGAATTATTGTGGAATAGCCTGACAACGACTACTGAGAGCCGGCCGTTTATTCAGTATGAATGTTTAACAAACATTTCTTCTCGTTTCCTTCACTGGAAACCGGAGCTATCATGGTCCAGGATAAAAAAAACCAGAGATAAAACTCAACGAGCATAAAAACTCTGGAAAACCTTATTCAAACACAGTCATGTAACACTACATGACACAACGCACTTTTATTGTAAATAAAAGATGTCTCGTTGAAAGTTCAAGCTAGAATGATTCAATTACACACTAATTCATGCCATGCCCTGGTCTCCGTGGCAGAATTAGCTCGCACACCTGTACGAGCTGCCTATGCAAATTACATTCCATCGGGGCACAGCCCCGGTCCCAACATAAGTATGCATTCATTAACGATACAAACAACATTTGTCTGCTATACAATCGTACCGCAGACAAATAATAATTCCTGCCACGTACCCATTTACATCACCTGGGTTGTGTGTAGCCAATGTATATCAGTAAATCAATGTCTTGCCAAATGACATTACTGCCGCGGCGGGACTCGAACCGCGAAACTTATGATCGACAGTCCGGCGACGTATCCACTCGACCACGACACGCTTCCTGTACTGAGTGTCCCTGAAAGGGAAACCCAAGTTGGTTGGCAAATTACTCAAGAATTCCAAATTATTTATTCTATATAAAAAGGTACATCATTGGAAGGCCCATTTTCACATTTTTTTTTATAAATATGACACGAGAAGCATGGGCGTAAATCTGTAATTGATACCTATTGTTCAGGGGGTGATCTATTCATTCATCCCCCTGAACAATGGTATTACGTAAGGATTGACGCCCATGACGAGAACAACGATCAAGAAGTCACGCGTGACCTTTTCAGCCAGTTTGAAGTAGCTCGAAGTGTCAGAAACACAATTGTCCAAAATAATCGAATTGCTGCTAATTTTGGTTCATCATGCCTTTTAAAGGAAATTAAATGATATGGAATCATTTATCATTGGAAATAAACATTATTTAAAAGCCCATTATATCATGTGCCACATGGCACCATAAGCACATTAGAAGAATCACATTGGGACCTAGCAGGCACAATTTCTAATGGGTATGGCAAAATGGCATTTGTTCAACTGACTCATTTAATTTCCTAAAATGGCATGCGCTTAAGCAAGGTATGCTACATTCAACAATTTAACCAAACAGCATAACCCCTGCATTACACAAATTCATGTACTCTCAGTCATAGTTCCAAGCGGACCATTCGGAAGTGATGAACACAAGGTACACGGTACACGGTAATGCGTGGTCCTTCCATTATGATTATTGTCTCATATGAACGAAGCGAATATGAGCTTTTCAATGACATGTGTTATGCTTAACAATTATTAGTTTCACATCACTATCATTTCAAAACCATAATGACCAAAACGTAACAGCCATCATCCACTTATTTTTGACAATTGGGCTTTCGATATTGCCACGTCGGGCTTTCTGAAATTATTAATGCGCGACGTCGTGATCATGATGTTGGTGTCATATGAAAGAATATAAAATAAACATTCGAATCATACATACTTTAACCAAGGATGAATTAAAAAATCATCCAGTTATTTACACGTAAACGTGGGATTCCCTTTTTCAGGGACACCCTGTAGTAGAATGAATCAATTCTGAATCTAGTGTGAGCATTATGTGTTTCCTTAAAAGGAGTTTAACGACATAGAAGAAGGTTAAAGGGATAGTTAAGTTCTGTTTTCAGACCGCAAAGTGCATGGTTATTGCTCTTATTCTTATCTATGACATTTATAGTGCCCTTTTAGAACCTAAAATTGCTATGAAGGTAATTTAGACCCCAAAATGTGTGAAATTAGCCAATACGATCATACCAATTCAGCTCCACTTTCCCAAAAAACATAGTAACCGTTAATTAATTATTTAATTAAAAATAACAATACATGAGCAGGCTAATTGTGGGTAATATAAGCAACACGAAAATGCCAACAAAACAGCCAACATCGGCATTGGCTGAAATACGACGTAAAAAGGCGTTATTTCGTGTTTTTCAACGGTTTTTTTCAAATTTTTCTAAATATCTAATATTTGTGGTGGTACACAAGTATTAGAAATCGTTATATTTTAGCCGTCTCTGATTCGATTTTGATCAAACAAAGATGATTTTGTCATTTAAATATTGAAATATTATGTTCTTTCAAATTTGACACTCAGTTTTTCAGTATCTCACCAAAAATTATTTTGTGTAGCGCCCTCTGCAACAAAACTCAACTATCCCTTTAAATCGGACCAGAGCGAAGACTGAGATTCGAGAAAGTAAGATATTCCTTAGTGCAACAAAAAAGATTAATAAAAAGGAGAATGATATTCAAGATAGTAATTAAAATTGACATCAGACGCAGTATACTTGACCGTTGTCATGACAATGAATGAAATATAATGTACGGTACGTGTATGAAGAGTTTCATTTCAAAAGGAGCTAAATCCACTTTGGGTACTTCTGAGTAAATCGCCTTTTTTTATTTCTCCACTTTCCCTTTAGCCATGGACCTTAATTTTGTTATATATTATAAAGGTGTCACCCTGGACCAATAATATATGATAAGAAAAAAATCTACCAGTTTTTCCTGATTTTTGCTTAATTTTTAGAATGTTTTTGTTCGTGGATTTAGCTCCTTTTGGAATGAAACATGACCTGGAAAATTTCATATTTCTTCAATAAAGTCACTGAATTTTTTTCAAATTAAGTAGCAAACCTTTCCTTTTAAATAATAATAGTGAAATCACAACTAAAAAACCTTTTGAAAAGAAAATAAACAACATATCACATTTTCATTCCAAAAGGAGCTAAATCCGTTTCATTCCAAAAGGAGCTAAATCCATGTTTCACTCTAAAAGGAGCTATATCCATGTTTCATTCCAAAAGGAGCTAAATCCACAAAATCTAAAAATTTAGTAAAAATAACAAAAATAACTGGTAGATTTTTTTCCTTATCATATATTATTGGTCCAGGGCGACACCTTTAACATATATGCATGTAACAACATGAAGGTACATTGCTAAAGGGAAAGTGGAGAAATAAAAAAGATGATTTACTCAGAAGCACCCAAAGTGGATTTAGCTCCTTTTGGAATGAAACCGATTTGGAGTTAGCTCCTTTTGGAATGAAACATGATATTGTACCTAATTTTTTTCATACTTCCTGGTGAAATTTTCGAATGTGATATAGTGCATTTTGTCCCCATGTAGGAAATCATTATTTTTAAGACAAATAACTCCATTTTGATAAAATATAGATTTAGCTCCTTTTGGAATCAAGTTCTTCATATGTTGATTGAATTATTCAGATGGTGAATCTATAGCAGATTATTCAAACGAATTAATAATTGAAATCACCGGCGTTTGTATTATATTGTATTGTATTTATTTTCCGTCATTTAAAAAACATCAAGATATATATATATATATATATATATATATATATTTACAATCATAAAGACACACTAATAAAAAAAGAAAGAAAGACGGAGGGATGGCACTACTTTACAGAGGGGTCCCTATAGACGAAAATAGATAGTACAGAAGTAAGGAAAACTTACAGCAAAATAAGAACTTACAATAATGATAAGAGCAAATTGGAGTAAAACAAGAAACAGGAGAGAAATATTTACGATATATACAAGAGAGAATCTTTTTTTAATTTAAAAAACAGATATTTGTGATTTTAACATCGTATGCTAGACATTAAATTTACTATTCAAAAGAAAAACATGTTAATGTCTGTCGCAAAGATTATTGGAAGAATGGCTATTACGGTTGATGGTCGTAGGTAAAATGGCATAGAATTCAATTAAATCATCCCCCTGTTATCAAATATTCCTCAAAAATTGGGATTATTTTTTCTTTCTATGGAAACTAAAACTACAAACTCTATTTGTACTAGTTAGTTATCAATTCATACTGTATTTGCGTTGTGTATATAGGAATTGAAACGAATGTTCATATTTGATTTTGATATGATTTGGCAGATCTGGAGGATAATCATTGTCGTGTAGCAGGGAACTCCACAGCGCCATGGTGCTACATGGTAAATCTCAAGGGAGAATTGGAGCCTGGATTTTGTCATATTGACACATGTGCAGGTGAGTTTAAGTGTGGACCGTCTAATACTATACAAGTGTAAATGTAAATGTAAACGTGAATGTAAATGTAAATGTAAATGTAAACGTAAATGTAAATGTAAATGTAAACGTAAATTTAAATGTAAATGTAAATGTAAACGTAAATTTAAATGTAAATGTAAATGTAAACGTAAATGTAAATGTAAATGTAAACGTAAATTTAAATGTAAACGTAAATTTAAATGTAAACGTAAATGTAAATATATCTAAAATGAATGAATTGGGAGGGTCACTTTTGATTTACTTCAAAATCATGAAAAGTTGAAATAATAAAAAATAATGTTAAAATCTACCGGTTTTGTTAATACCAGCATGAATTCCTAATAAATTAAGAACACACTTTATTGATATATATTATTATTTAAGCTTTGTCAATAGTACAAACAAATTTAATGTTTAAAGAGCTATTGCGTTTTCTTATTGGTAATCGTATATCCACTTCACTTGCACGAATAATTTTAACGGAAAAGTTTCAAAATGAGTATTGATTTCCAATGACGGATATCTTAGAAATATAACTATGAACAGTTTTTTTTTTTTTTTTTACAAAAGTGATAAAATCTATGGTGTTTGTTAATACCAGCATAAATTACTAAACAATAATTAAGAACACACTTTATTGATATATATTGATTTGCTTTGATTGATTGACCTATTTACCAACAGCAATACAGTTATACATTTCATACAGTGTGTTTACATATATTATTGGTTTGGTAAAAGGGGCAAGATAATAGCACATGTGCTAGTCGAGACTGACAAACATGCCCGTTTATCTTAGAGATATAACATTAGATATTGCATACTTTTGATATATTGTTTATGTTGTTTTCCGTATCTACGACTTTCTCGAAACACTTTGTTTATACTCCGTACATTGTAATTCCTTTTTAGTTACCCAGTATTATATGTCGATTTTTTTATATCTCAATTACTTCGAATAATCCAAGGATAGTAAAAGCCATATTTTTTCTCGCAAAGTACAGAGAAAACATACCCGTATATCCCATAACTAACACTTTTCCATATCAGGTTCCATTTTACTGGTTTGGCCAACTGAAAATAATAACCTTTAAAGTAAAGTTCAATGACATTCTCAATGCCTGCTTCACACTGTCCTGAAAGTGACACCAGGTGGATACACGATAAAGGAAATGTTCAAAGTCGGCTCTGATCGTAAAAACATTGGGTGATTCGTGAGAGCATCTTAAGTCATCGTATGACCACTGGTGGAGTTTCTCAGGCTCAGGCTCAACTTCATGAGCGGTGGCAAAATCTTTGGCATGACAAAAAGTGCCGAAAGACCTTGCGAAGGTTCATTTTCGTGTGTCCATTTTCCCCTTCGTAAGGACATCGTGAGGGCATCTTGTCGACTCGTCTCATATAGGGATAGTCGGGTGAGTATTTTTTTTTGTTCCTCACACATTGCCATACCTCTGCACCTTTCCTTTAATCCCATTTCCCCTTAATTCCAAACCCCCCTTTTTCGGATTTCGCTAAGCCAAAGTTGTTCGTCATCAAGTTTGAACGCGGTCGAGCCTTGCTTTAGTTAGTACACCTCTTCGTTCTCACAATTTTTTTTTTTTTTTTTAGATCGTTATCATTATTAGTAGTATTGTTTTCATGGATATTATCCTCACTATCATTATCATCATTGATATTATTACTAATTATTATTTGTATCATAATTATCCTTAATAATAATGGTGATAACAATAGTAGTAACAATAATCAGTGGCGAATCCAGGGGGGCACAGGGGGCACGTGCCTCCCTCCGGCCAAAACAAAATATGTTAAAATCACCACTAAATTCGCCCAAAATGTACTGAAAACAGAGGCGTGTCCCCCCCCCCCCCCCGGCCACAAAAAATTTATTAAAATCTTTATTTAAAAAAAAAAAAATGCCAATGGCTGAACTAAAAAGGTGAACTTACCCCCCCCCCCCCCCCCCCCCCCCCCCCCCCCCAACGGAGCAAAATGTCAAATTGCAAAAATTTCATGACCAAAAAAAAAAAAAAAAAAAAAAAAAAAAAAAAAAAAAAAAAAATCCTCTTACTCTCCCCCCCTGCGATTTTTTGGGGACCAAAAAAAAAAAAAAAAAAAAAAGTGTCCTCTTACCCCCCCCCCCCCCCCCCCCCCCCCCCTCCCCCGCTTATTCAGCGGCTGGCTGAGTCGTTGCGATTTTTGGGGACTAACAAAAAATATATATATATATATATGTGTGCCCCCCCCCCCCCCCCGTGTGCCCCCCCCCCCCCCCCCGGCAAGAAATTGCTGGATCCGTGCCTGATAATAATAATAATAATGACAATAATATCATCACCATCATCATCATCATCATCATCATCATCATCATCATCATCCTTACTACTTTCATGATTATGATCATGTCCCTCCCGCAGCACATGCTGGTTGCAGGAACGGTACCGGTGAAGATTACCGATGGTATGGTCACTACACTGAGTCTGGCTACCTCTGTATCGACTGGGAGAAAGGGATTAATATCACTTTGGATCCTGTATCAGGTATGATCTTGTCAGCAAAAGAGAAGAATATTGAAGATTGTAGCTTAATAAATCTATAAGGACTCGATTCAAACGCCAGATTTTCCGGACAAGTTATATAAAGAGGATTGTATGATCATGATATAGCTACAACCGTTACGAGAAAACAGGTCCGGGTACATACTTTGATATGAAACCACCTAATTTATCACTTTTAAATTTGTTTAAGGGTGGGGGTGTGTGCCAATACCACAAAGAATCTCGTGACCACGACCTAATTTGTCATAGCCCTTGGTACTTTTAAGGAATGTCATTGAACAATGAACATTGGTGATAATCATCTATCTGGTTTCGTACAATTAACACGTAGATACCACGATCACAATGAAATCATTGCTACCTAAAAGCTTTTATTGATTATCACATCTCTTTGGGATCAATTAATTAACATTACTCACTTTGGCATATAAATATTAACCATGCTCACTTGGTGAAATGACAAAATCTGATTTCCTCTCATGGAGCTAGGGTTGGATGAGAATTTTTGCCGCAACCCGGACGGACGTGATAGGCCATGGTGTTATTACCAGAGTCCAAACAGCAGCGAAATCTTGTCAGATTTCTGTCAGATAGACGAGTGTAAGTAGACAATGCAATTATGATATATATAGTAAATGATCATTTTGAACATAATTATGATAAACTCTAATTGGAATAATTTGTCTGTTTTTATTCGTTTAGCCATCCAAATATTCTCAAGAACCGCCCCCCCCCCCAAAAAAAAAACCCACACAAACAAACATACAAATAAATGAAATAGATTAAGATAAATAGGGTAAAGAATCAATCGATGACGTCTCATCGAGAGAGTCCACAAAATAAACATGTTTTCGATCAATTAGCATATCCTTAGTTCTTCATGGTTTTAGAGAGAGAGAGAGAGAGGGGGGGGGGGGGGGGGAGGGAGAGAGGAAAGGGAAAAGAGAGAGAGAGAGAGAGACAGGGAGGAAGAGGGAAAGATAGAGAGAGAGAGAGAGAGAGAGAGAGAGAGCGAGAGCGAGATGTTTTTTTTTTTGGGGGGGGGGTTATTGAAATACTTTTTTTGTAAATTTTTGACATATCACTCCACCACGTTGTTACCCGTCACAGGTACCCTCGGTGCCCTGTCCCACTTTCAGCTGACGCACTATGCGCGTTTCGGCTATTACGACAGTCGCATCATTGAGGACTCCAATATAACGGCAGAGGAGTGCGCCCTCCAGTGTCTAGAAGAGGAATCGTTCTCGTGTCTCTCTGTCAAGTTCCGTGATGTGCATACCTACAACATCCGAAGATGTACCTTATCAGCCCAAAGCATATACACTCTAAATCTAGCAAGGACCCAACCAAACCCGGATATTTATAATAAACATCATGGACTGTACACTCGAATTGACAAAAGTAAGTAAGCCTCTAGGATGCGTCTTGAATGAATTACAGTCTGACTGATGTATATATGCCCCGAGAAGCCAAACTAGAGCGTATTTATCTTCTTTCTTTTTTTTAATGAGAGCATGGTAGTCTCACTGTTGAAATATTGAAAGCTGTGAATAGATTTATAAATTCACACTGGGCATACCCAGTACAGGGATGCAGCAACAACTATTGGTTTTGTAAAGATCGACATTAACGGTCACTCTGAAGGAGCTGTAATCTTCTTTAATGAAGAAATTCTGGGTTTGCTATTCATACCAAAAATTAACAATTCCATATCAGACTATTAATTCAATATAAATGTTCTCTTTTACACATCTGTGTGAGTGTATGTGTGTCAGTGTGTGCGTGTGTGTGCGTGTGTGCGTGTGCGTTGTGTGTCTGTCTGTCTGACTGTCTTTGCTCAATGCACTGTTTTATTCCTCACCCAGTAGGTTGGCGCAAGTGAAATATGGCAGTCTTGTAAAGATTGTCTGATGTTCCATCATGCGTGAAGGGATTCAAATGAAAATGGTACCTAAATGTACTGGGAGGATAACTCTACCAAGACATAATTTTTATCATGAAACCCATGATTGAAAAGTCAAACTTCAAACAATACAACTTATAGAAAGTGGGACATTTTTCTGACTCACCCTGTATATCTCTATTGTCTCTTTCTGCTTGCCTCTCTTTTTCAACATCACCATGTGTAAATATCAATTAGTTCATCGTTAATCATAGTAGTGACATTTACTGCTTTTCTCTTTTTTTTTTACAGTATGCGATGCTTTCCTGCCAGATTTTACGAAGCTTTCGGCAGGTGAAAAAGCTCGAAGTTATATAATTATTTAATGTTATTGTTTGAATACCATATACAAACCGTGGAAGGTAGTTAATAATATTAAATGTCTTGAAATGTGTATGGAATAATATGTGACATCAAATATATGAATACGACTCCGAGGTATCATTAGACAGTAAATAGAGTACTTTTTACCATTATACCAAATGTTAGGTAAGAGGTTGTTCCTTTTTGATATCCTCTGTATGGGTTTTAACGGCCACTATGCCTATAATGATGATTTCTTACCTGAAATGCCAGATGTGCAGTAATTTACTTGCTATTTCATTAAAATCATAGTTCCAGAATTATTGAGGGGGGGGGGGGGACCCACCGTGGCAAAATGAAACGTTTACTCCCTCTTCTTTTTTTCTTTTTTTTTGTTTGGGGGGGGGGGGGTAATTCAACTACATTATGTCTTTCAGGATCAATGCTTCAGTAACTTATATTGTTTGTTATTTTAATTGGGTTGAATCATTTATAAATTTGGAACTATTTCATTAGCTCGGTCGGTTTTTATTCCTCGACTCTTAGCTGAATGCCCTTTGCCCCTGAGTATCTTGCTGAATAATGGCAGAATCAATGCGAGCTTCTCTGCGTCCAGTTATATGGACGGTCATCACCCAAACCAAACCGATGTGCAAAGTGTCCTAGCCTGGATTCCAGCTGATGACGTGACTGGAGAATGGTGGCAGGTAAAATATACGATCACTCCATGTTTTATTCTGATAATGATAAGGATGGTGGCGATGATGATGATGGCGACGACGTCGATGATGAAAATGATGATGATGTTGATGATGAAAATGATGATGATGTTGATGATAACGATGATGAAGATGATAAATCACAGCATTGTGTGGACACACACCCAATGTTAGCAAAGAAATATCTGGTGAAACATAAGTTATATGACACCATAGATTTCTGAAATATAATTCCTTGAGTATTATTTAAATTATAATATACATGTAGGTTTTCCCGCCAAATTTTGTGAACGCTGCATCCGATCAGGGAGGTGAAAGAAAAGGAGGCGAAACTCTTGTAATTTATTCAAACGCATTCTTGAGTTCTAAAGCGTAACAATGGGATGTGTAACATTCCACTTGGCTTTGAAGTTCCATGCTCCGAACCGCGCTTCCACTGCGGGGACTTTCGGAAGCCAGGCACCAGTTTTACATTTATTACAAGATATTAAATTACCGGCAAAATTTCAGTGTAAATCAAAAACTTTATATGGGGATTTTATTGGGAATAGTGCATCAAACAAATTTTCAAATTTAAAACTCCGTCCTTCCTTTAATTTGTGTGCCAGAGTTGGTAATTGAAAAATTACATCCTGTCAAAAACTCAATATTTTAGGATGATGCGCTAATTTGTGCATGCTTTAATGTCCCGTTATTTGATCCATGATTTACAATCTTCAATAACATTAAGTTTGCTAATGCGTGTTTTCGCGTGTTTTTTGTATTTTTCAAGTTTAAAAAAGGATGAAAGTACGCAAGTTTGTGTTCGCTTGTTCTACTCTTTACACATTCAACAATGGATGAGAAATCATTGGAAGGGACAGCGAACAGTTGCAGTGATACCATTTTCTGATGTAGGAATTCTAACTCCTGAAATTTCATGCGCTCTTTTATCTCACCACCTGGTCAACAGTTGCAGATTAGCGCATAACTTTTCGGCGGCTTGGAGCATGGGGTCAAAGGAGAGCGGCTTGATTCCAGTCCTTCTCTATCACGTCCCTGATCCGATTTAACGATGCGATCATTCAATTTCAAGCAAATTTGAAGGATCACCGAAATCAACATTAAAAGAGCTAACTAGTGCATTCAAATTAATTGTATTAGCATGCGAATTCATGATTTTTTCTTCTTCACATAAACGTGTAAAAGGCGCACGTAAATGCATTTAAATTCGCACCTGCACCGCCCTGATGAACGTTAAGGTATTCAAATTTACGAATAGGCAAGCATTTATAGCATTTGTGCAGTCTTTCTTCTAAAAAATACTGTTTATCCTCTTTGCAATCTGCATCTGTTTGAATAAATTATGCAAACTTTATGTACCTTGAAATGGGACCTTTGCCTTATATTGAAATATCTCATTCCTCTGAAAAACCGTCATCGAAGCAAAAGCAAAAGCAAAAGCAAAAAAAAAAAAGTTATAACCATTCTGTAAGTGTTATATCCATACTGCTAGGGATCAAGTGAAACTGGAAGAGAAGATTAGAAAGAAACGAAGTATATCAAATATGATTAAAATTACATTATGAAACTGTAAAAATGAAAATGAAATTATATAATTAAAAACAGTGAAAAGGAAATATGACGTGAACATATTACGGTAAGAATAACATAGAACTACAGAACTTGTTTATGTTAATTCAATTCGAACCTTCAAAGTTCGAAGGTGTGTGCCTATATGTGAAATTGAAATCGGTATTAAAGACGAAATTGAACGTCTATCCAGCTGGCGCGAAATTGAATGGATTTCTCTCTTGGATGATATAAAATTTTAAAGGAATGATATAAAACGAAATTGAATGCTCAAAGAACGCCTTTTCATGAATTCGAATGCAACTCTGATAAAATTGGGCGTGATAACCTATAGAAAGCGATATAACGATTAATTTCTATGTATTATACAGTAGACTATATAAACTTTTACGCATGATTCTGTTCCATACAAGGTGTGCTACAGCGAGCGTGTCCTCATCACTGGTCTCGTTACCCGTGGCAACAAGGAGATGATGGATGGAGAGGGATGCTGGGTTAACTCATTTAAAGTGGACTACAGCTTAGATGGGGAGTACTGGTGGAATCATTTAGATTACCAAGGTGATGACCCACGTCAACCTATAGTGAGTCAGTCTTCGTTATTTCTTTTGTATGTAGTACATAATTTAGTAAGAACATTATATGTGTGAGATCGCTTGGAGGTAGGGTAAATGGTTTTAGGTATCCAAGGTAACACGCCTGGTCGTCATTCAGTTGCACTCAACGCGCTCAAGCATGCTATAGCTCAGGGTCATTGACTCCAGCTTCACATGCATGCCTTCATGAAGAAAAACACCGGCAGCGTTATCATTTAATAATTATTCTATTTAGGTAACCTTAATTACCATAATGTACTCAACAGGTAGTTGAAACAGCAATTAGACTATAACAAGAGATTGTGACCATTACACTGCTGATGACGTATACAGTTAAAGAAACTTAAACGAGCCAAACGAATTTGGAAAAAAAAAGATACACTTTTCTAAATTTTTCTTTAATTATTATTTTTTTGTCTTGACATTTGTATGAGCTGTTTTTTTTTTCTTCAGTGTTCTTATAATTATTGTCAGAAACTTGGACAAACAGGTGTCTCAATGTATTTTTTCTCCACATCAAGGCTGATCATTATACAGTTTGAGCAAGAAGTTAGTAACTTCTTGGTTTGAAATATCTCTTGCTTTTGGAGCGAGGAAATAGAAAATCGTAAATAATCCCATCTGGCCTTTTCTGTTCCTATTATATGCTTTATGAATGTTTTGAATTTTACAATCACTATGTAGATATCTTGTTGTATCCTTAATTTTAGAACAAAGAAACACACAATTTTATGAGGAGTAATTATAAGAAGACAAACATTTTTTCTTCAGTAAGGAATTCATTAATATTTCTCTGAAGGCTGTAACCTGAATTCCTTGAAATCTTTATTTCCTTTTATTTTATTTTATTTTCAGGAATTTTTCGCCAACTCAGAAGCCAGCTGCAACACGACGATTTTCCTCCCTACACCTACCCGAGTGAGTTGTCTACGAATACTACCCGAGACCTGGCGAAACAAGATATGTCTCTCTGTCGGGATCATCGGCTGTCTAGACAATGGTACGGGTATCTAATGAACGAAAGACAAAGATATATATATATATATAGAGAGAGAGAGAGAGAGAGAGAGAGAGAGAGAGAGAGAAAGAGAGAGAGAGAGAGAGGGGGGGGGGGGAGAGAGAGGGAGAAAGAGAGGGGGGGGGGGGAGGGGAGACATGTATATTCAGAGTCAAATAAACATATTCGTTTTAGTCAGAACACTATGTTTGCCAGACCACTAGTAAAACCATTTCTGATACATGTATATACATTTCTCTATTTGATTGAAGGAACACATGTATTTAATTTTTTTTACTGGTATTAGACTGTGATGAAACAATGGGACTAAGCATAAATCGTATTCATGACAACCAGATAGAGGCATCATCCTGGAACGGTGATGCGCTCCATCCTCCATCATCAGCCAGGGTAGGATACATACAACAAGTCGGATATGGGTGGATCCCAGCACAATCATCGACAGATCAATGGATACAGGTAATGAAGTATGACTGGATCTTCTGAAAAACACCCCCCCCCCCCCTTCCCACGATCACAACTACACACATCCCACATCCTGCTTCCTCCTCCTCCTAAATAATAATAATAATAATTTTGATTTATATAGCGCTTAATACGGAATACCGTCTCCGAGCGCTTTACAGATATTATTACCCCGGTCATTGGATTCATTCACGCACACTGTGCACCATTTCCACTATCTGGGGAGCATTCATACCAAACGGCAATTACTACCGAAAATGCTCTCGTCATCCTACCAAATCCCAAATTCTCTCCTGGGTTTGGAGTGGCAAATGTAGATTAATGCCTTGCCAAAGAACACAACTAGGCGTTGTGGCGTGCGCCTGTAATCCAGCTAAAAGTGGAAGTTACAAACTGATTCAGCCGAGGACGCAGGTTCGAAACTGAGTCACGTCTTTCGGATAGTGACGTTTAAAGGTCGGTCCCCAGACGTAAATAATCAGATCTGATTGATACACGTCTGCAAAAAACCCAATAACACACACACACACACACACACGCACACACACATACATAAGTGCCGTGTCGGGGATCGAACCCGTGACCTTTGAATTCAAGTAAAGTGCTTAAACCACTCGAATACGACACCTCTCCTCTAACTTTCCTCTCAACTTCTCTTCCTCCACTCGACCCCTCTCCTAGCTGACCAATGTTACTTGTTATGCTCATTGCACAAGATGCGTTATATTTGCTTGTGTTATTACCTACACTAATGAGAAGGAAATTTAAGGCAAGCGCCATTAATATAACATGATGTTTGCACATATCACTGTACCATCACCATTGTCCGTTCGAAGTCAACCTCTCATAATGCGTCAAAAATATTTCCTTAAAGGTATTACAAAGTTTTAGTATGGGGGTCAAGAATTTGTTCAAATTAACGTATTGGAAGCACATGCGATCCTACAATATTCCGTGATCGTTGTCGCGGTTGAAATCGAATCTAAAGTGATGAAATTGTGAATAATAAACTCTTTATGTTGTATAACTCCCTCTCAAGATTGATATTACTTTAGCTTCATAACATTGTTTCTCGACTAAAATCGACCGATTTTCTATTACCGTTTGGAAAATATATATCAGATTCAATCAGAGCTGCATATTCCGAGATTCCGAGACACCGGAGTGTTGGCTCAGTCAGTAGAGCGTCCGCGTCATACCAAAAGACGTTAAAAGATGGGAGTTGTTGCTACCTTGTTTGGCGTTAAACAATAAGGGATAGAGCAACGTCGATCTGGCGCTGCTCAGTGGCTGCCGGGCTCACGATCAATATTGGGCAAAAATAATTTCCGTTTCGGTTTAATAACATTTGGAGTAGGCTATTATAATTATAATTATTATTATTATTTTCATGGTCGCAGCTACTATTGTATGGCTGTAGGCGCTATTACAAATGTAGGATAACGATATAACATATAATTTCTTTCCTTCTTTTTCACGTAGATCAACTTCGACAGTGAGAAGTTTCTCCAGGGCGTGGTCACTCAGGGATGTCTAGACACGGAAGCATGGGTGGAGTCTTACACCATCTCATACAGCCAACACCTCGTGACATATCGCCATGACAATGGGTCAGTCGTGGTAAGAATATTAATTTGCTAAATGAAATGAAAAACTACTATATATATTTTTTTTAAATCGGTGTATGTAAACTACATTGTATATAAGTTCATTCAATTCTTTTTTTGTTGGCATGATGTTATTTTTAAAACGTAACCGATTTCGTCACAACTGTTTTACCCAGTAGATTTGAATGTTCTGCAGAACAAATTTTCTCTGAATACAATCTTAAGTTTACAATAGCCCATACCCCAAACAAGCAAGTGAATTATCACACATCTTTCCTATTTGGCAAGCAATAATTAAAACGAGATTCTTTAATTTCTCAAAGGTTACATCAATAAATATATGTACTGAAATATTTCAATTCGCCCGAGATTAAGTATGCCATTAGCATGATTTGTTTGATCGTTCAGATGTTAGTAGATGAAGAATCCATTCCTTCATTTCCATATTACTCCTGCCTATGTAGTTCCTGTTCATAATCTTTTTTATTTTGCAGGTTTTTGAAGGTAACAGGGACATGACAACTCTTGTACGCAATGACCTGGATCCACCCTTTGTGACCCTTAATGTAAGAGTTCATCCGGTCACGTGGTATCGTGATATCTGCCTCCGTCTTGAGTTTATCGGATGCCAGAACAGGGGTAGGTCATCATCTGATTTATTTGATTAGTTCTGATCATTATTTACTACATATTAATAATAAGGCCTACGATACCATGGCATCAGGTTGGTTGAAAACTTTGTTTTGCCACAATCGATTTGAAAAATTTCAAACAAAAAAGTCTAAATTGATCATTATTTAAAAGACTTTCACTTTCCATTTCTTTATCAGTTTGTAATCACAGACTTGGAATGGAGTCTTATAAAATCCCCAATGAAGCCATAGAAGCCAGTTCCTTCCGCTACAGATATCCTCCATACAATGGACGACTACACGTAGAAATGGCTTCCCTACCTCCAGAGCAACCCGTACCGTTCTGGGAACCAAGTGGTGAACTAGGACTGAACGAATGGCTTCAGGTGATCTACATTTGTTACATTCGATATTCTTAAAGGGATTGGGTAACTTTGTCTCAGATTCTGAAACAGAATTCTGGATTTAGCTCATGCTGCAATGTTAATTATAAACCTTTAGGTCAGTCAGGAACCGCACATGACTTTAACAAGCCGATTACCTGTCTGATTATCAAGATATTGATGATTGGAAATCGAAATCAAATGTTGCGTTTTCCTAAAGGTTTTCATAGCACTACAGTCTACTGGGTAAAACGAGTATGGTAAAAACCGGTCACTCAAAGATTTTTTAATATTTTTTTTAGGCACTTCTTGATCATTTTGAAGCGCAATTATTTTAGGGCTTCAATATTACACGATATGACAGACACTGATAATACGTAGGGCCATGCATCTCAGATTCAACATTGTTAAACGATGCCTTTAAGAGAATACCCTGAAAGCAAAAAAAGATTTGAACACTGTACCGTCAAAGCAATCCAAGTGAGATTATATAGGCCTTTGACTTTCCGGTTTAAATTTTGTGAGATCAATTTTCTCTCTCTCTTTTTTCTTGCTATCCCTTCACCCCCCTCTCTTTCTCCCCCTCCACTCTAGTTGTGTTCCCTTTCTGATACCAGCAAGAATCATCAGTTATCACCATTGGTTAATTGTATCCAGTTATTGTTTTCATTTATTGGATGGAATTATATCTATAGCGTACATGTCGCATCTCACAAAATCATCCATTCGTAAAATATCCATGAAGGCATAGAACAAGTAAATAATAAAAGCAAGAGAAAATAATTGGGGTAAGTCCCATTTTTTTAAAACTTAACTGTCTTTAGGTGGATCTAGTAGAGCTACACACGGTTACAGGTATTATCACACAAGGTGCTGGCTTACAATCTGAGTTGGATTGGGTTGTCTCTTATCGCTTAGCTTTCTGGAGCATCAGGAGCACCAACGTATCAGAGGAATGGCTCTATTACCAGGACATCGAAGGCAATCAAAGTGTAAATATTTATTTTTATTTCTTTTCTGAAATGTATAATGCCCGGAGATACACGGACGTCTAATAATTCTCCTTGGATTTCAAATGTATTACTGTAAAGATGACAAAGAGGGTATGTTGATCTTTTCTGTGTATGGATCCAAGCATTCTTACTGTCAGTTTGATTAAGTTGTTTCTGCCATGATTGTGTTAAAGCTTATCTGTCCTAGTTTATAGGAGGGATTAGACTACCCTGCAAAGTCACTGGACAGGTGGTTATCTCATCAACTCAACTCTCAATTAACATAAGAAAAAGAGGATCATGGGGGACCAATGGTCACCGATTATGCATTGCTTTCTATATAGAGAGAGCAAGTAGCTACAAGTTGGACAGTGTGGCTTTAAACAATTCCCAAAACTATATTTAAGTATATGTATTCTGGTAATACCCGCCATTTTTTTTCTTGTCGTCAATCCACCTGTTCCCTTTTTAATATGTCAACAAGTAACTAAATGGTTTTTAAAAATTGGATTCCTTTACAAAAATAAACTTACACCACCCCACCTCCGTCCCCCACCCCACTTTTACATACCTGTCTATGCCTGACTTAGCAACGGGTACTAAATGATATTGGGTTAGGGTGGTAGAAAAGCTTGTGGTGCCTTTTAACAAGTACAATTCAAATTGTAAAAAATGTATCTCAGCTCAGGATGTCTTTGCCGTTGTTTCATTCGTCAGTGTGCCAAATGCAACGCATTTCGGCTGCTTCTAGCTGCGCCATATTTACCGAAATTTGAATACCGTTAGAGAGAGGGAATCGTGTGAATGCCTACATTCGTTACAAATTATAACAAACCCACAGAAAAGATTCTGTACAATTTAAAAGTTGGGATAATTAATTTCAGATTCTACCCGGTAACAGCGATCAGAATACTGAAGCCAGGAACACTCTTGACCGGCCAATCGTCACAAGACGTGTTCGTATCATGCCGTATGAATGGTATAGCAGACGTATAAGAATGCGAGCTGAGATCGTCGGATGCCCATTGTTAGGTAAACGTTGAACTCCTTAGACTCTCTTTAAAACATGCAGATTTTGACATGGATTTAGCGAGTACGGGATCTGTTATCATGTTTTAATGCGATGTGTAACCTAGCTACATTTAACAAATTTATGAAAATATATATTCGAGACACAAATCCCAAGAAATTGAATTATTATTAGAAGAAAGTAGATAACTACTTCACTATCAGGAGGGGGTAACCAGTCTATTGCATGTTCAAGACAGCTTACATCACAAGTTATTCGGTAATTCCAAAGCTGTAGGATAAGTCTCCAAGAATTGCATAAAACCGATGTGCTTTGATTATTTTCATTGATAACGTTTTAAAAGCTTTGAGTAGAATAACTTGTAAAACGTCTTTATGATATGAATGATAGACGTTTCTAATCTTTCTAGGCACTGGTAGGGTATGTGACTCCGAGAAAGTGTTGTTATATGACGGGAAATGCTACGCATCTGTAAGCAGCACGGCAGAAGGAGCGTGTAGTGATATCTTTGCTGAAGACAGCAAGAGAGCTACGGTGAAGTCATCCAGCATCCAAGATGTACTATTAGATCATCGGTCTGATCTCGTGTTCGAAAGCAAGACGCAGCTGACACTAGGAGCTACGAAAGAAGGCGAGGAAGACTGGATGTGGGATGACGGTACTCCCGTCATATATGACCAATTCTCGAATGATCTGTTAGTTAACAGTCCTCTCTGTGTGGCTCTTGACGGACTTGCAAGTTTTAAATGGACACAGTATGAATGCCAGAGTGTTATTCTGCGTGGGACTCTCTGTGAAATAGGTAAGCGGCCATGGGTAGTTCAAACTATTAAAAAAAATCTCAAACAAAATTTTAAAAAAGGGTTAGAGGAGTCGTAGTCGAGTGGTTAAAACCCTTGACTGCAGATGTGACGGCCATGGGTTCGATATTAGCAGACACTTATTTCCTTAAACAAAATATTTTTTTATCTACATTGCTTCTCTCCATCCACGGTTTAATAAATGAGTTCCGTTGATGTGTTTGGATTAACACGTGTGCGCTTGTGAACTGGGGCCTCGCAGAAATTCTCCCGAGGGATAGAAGAGTTTTCACTATTATGTGCAGAATAGCCATCGAATCCGACGTCGGGACTAAAATGATGATAATAATTCTAATGTAAAACACTTAAAAACTTATTATTAATTGTTAGTTTGTGAGACATTCTAGAGTAAGCATCATAAACGTCTACTGAAAGGCCACATGGGCATCGTGCATTGCTCCCTGAATGGCTTGCAACATTATGTATAAATGTCGCTAAATAGCCTAATTAGTATTGAAAGGTTTCATACGTCTATATTTTCATCTGTTTTATTTCCATTTGTGTAGATATCGATGAGTGTCTAAGCAGTGAACATGGGTGCTCACATGACTGTGTGAATGATGAGGGTAGTTATCACTGCGCATGCCCAGAAGGTTACCGCTTGGATCCGTCCCGTCGACAGTGTGTTGGTTAGTACGATTAGCAGTGGATTAGGAACTAGTGGCTTCAGGGGCACACCCCCCCCCCCCAATTACATGTGATCAAAGAGAGATGAGGGGGGGGGGGGTAGAAAAGCAAAGGGAGAGAAGAGGGGAGGATGAAAGAGAATGGAGAAAAATACAAACGAAACTGATTAATTTCTCTTCCGCACCCTCCCCTAACCCATTGCCTTGTTAATTCGTATTTCACTCACTGAGTAGGCTAAGGCCGATCTTAATTTTAAATCGAAATGTAGCAAGCCATATATTCGACCTTGGGACAATCCTTGTTTTCATACAACTTCGTCAACTTTATGGGAAACAGGTCAAAAGATACATCATATGATGTAGGCGAGTTGTTGGCATATCGTGTACACTAATTAATGATAAATCAAACACGACTGATCAAGCAAATTCTCTCACTCTTTCCTAATCCCTCGCATAGATATATGCGCAATTGACATCACGAATCCTACGAACAGCACTGTCCTCAATAAAGGATCCTCTTGCTTCGTCGTCATGGATTCTGAAGAGATCACGTGGTCAGAAGCTACCAATCATTGCATGGCAATTCAGAGTCGTCTACCGAATGCCAGTGACGTTTTCTTTATGGAGGTAACACTTCAAATGAAACTGAAATATCTTCTTCTTAAAAAAATAAATAAATTATAACTATTTCCTATATCCAAAGTAAAGGCAATATTCAACAGCAAAATGTTCACCCAATGCTAAAAGAGTGATTTTTACAAAACCCACTTTGTAGAAAGTGTGAATTAAAGGGGTAAAATTATTGGGTACTTTCCGCTGAATTTTGGATTTGGTGGCAACTGCCCATATTCCGGTGTTTGGTGATGTGCTTTTCGGAGTTGTCCGGAGTGGATATTAATTATCTTTTTTTTTTCTTAAATTGCCCAAAACGCTCATTATATTGATTAGACAAGGATGCAAAATGCAGGTATGAACATTTATATTCATGTAAACGGTAGCCACCTAACATGTATAAGAAGCCTTGATTATTATCGAAATTGACATTATGCCAGTTTGATTACATTCATTTTTCCGGGTTAACAGTTCTATCATCCTGATTTGTTAGATCATGACGTCATTAAATGCAAACGAACTAGTATGTCTTTTAAAACAAAATTAAATCTCTGGTGACATTACAAGGTCAGTGAGTGGAATTTTATTGATTTGAACTATATATATGTTACAATTATAGATTATATGACGAACGGGGTGACTGGATTGATCCACAAAATATGAAGTACCGAAAAGATGTACGAAGAAATCATGACAAAGTCATTATCCACCTTTGGTGATATAATATGCTCTTTAGGTATAGGGAAACACTAGCACATATCACAGATTATATCACGGTAATAATTTTCGTTTTGTAATGATACTTTTACAGGCTTTGAATGAGGCAAATGTAAGTGATATTTGGGTAGAAGACGATCTTTCTGCCGTAGATGAGCTCTGCCCTTCAATCATATGGAACACGACTAAGATTACAATCGAATCGTCTGACTGTAATGATCAGAAAACATTCATCTGTGAGCGAGGTAGGTTGATTAGATGCAAACAAAAAGATATATATATATATATATATGACTGCACATAAATGTACATGCCCATACACGGATATAGATGGGCAATCTCAATCGAATTTACCCATACGTTAAGAACCACATCTATGTAGGTCATATCAAAATATGAAGTGAAATAAAACATTTGATGTCAAGTGTCAATCTATGTCCAGAACTTGGATAATAGGTGATGAAATATCTTTGACTCGGCAGCGAAATGGCATGATTTCCATATTTGGACACATCAATAAAATGGACCAACCTTCCCTTTAATGTCACTTCTAAACTCAAGTTGGAACCCATAGATGAGACTTTATTTCTGTGACACAATCACTCTTTCGATCATCTGATTTTTATCCCGACTTTTCTAAGATCGCCTGCTTGTTATAACCTGATGAAATAAAACTTGAATTTTCTTAAATTTAGAATATGCTGATCTTCATTGCCATGATATTTGGTCTGATGACGTCACATCACACGTGACATCAGCTTCAGTAGGTCACATACAAGCGTTCAGTTACCCTCCACTCTACAACCAGCAATCAACATGTAACTTTCTGATCAAGGGGCCTGATAGTATGAATATCAGGTAAGTTAGCAAATACACCAGTTTACAGTTGTGTGCGCCATTTTAAATGGTGAGTAAACAAAGCCAATGACCCAGAGGTCAGTGGTATTTATGCGTAAATTAAGATTGCGCCCATGCAAATGATGATATGCGCGCACAACGCAGCGCGCAGTCAGTGATATCATCATCATTTGCATGGGCGCAATCTTAACTTACGCATAAATACATGACCTCTAGGTCATTGGCTTTGTTTACTCACCATTTAGAATAGCGCCCATGTCTGCGCATGCGCACTGATACAACTGTAAACTGGTGTATTATTCTATCATTCATTCGATACAATATATATTTCCTTTTCTACCAAAATATCATTCATCATTATTATTATTGTTATCATTATTATTATTATCATTATTATTTGTATTGATATTATTATTATCATTATTATAGATATTTTTAGTATTATTATTATTATTATTATCATTAGTATTGTTCTCATTGTTATTAGCATTGATAACATTATTATTGTTTTTGTAAATATTATTATTGCCCTTTAATGTTATCCTTATTAGTAATATTATTTACAATATTATCACTATTATCATCACCTTTGTTGTCGTAATAATTCTTCCAGGTAAACAGCGTATTATTGTTTACCAATTAATTTAGGTAAATTGGAATCTGTTGATGATCGTAATCACTTATCGATTGATGTTATTACTGTTTTTATCAATTCGTCATTTAAATTAGAATACCATTATTATTCAGAACGACTATGATACCCTCTTTTTCACTTTGAATGTAGACTGAGAATCATAAGGGTAAATTTACGGCAAGACCTGTCCAAATCACGATGCCAAGATGCCCTCGATATAAACGACGTCTTTGGTAACACAAGTCACATCACACGAGGTCGATATTGCGGTGAAATTTACGACATTGAGGTCTTTAGCAAGTCCAACGTCGTTTTCATTGAACTCTCTATGTGGCCGTTGACTGCAAACATGCCCAATGAACTCGGCTTTGAAGCCACTTATGACATGGTCGGTAAGTCGAATGTGACGTGTGATAAATAATATGTCCGCGTTAACACAAGCGTTAATATACGCCTAAGGAGTTACTCCTTGATCAATCAAAATCATTAATATCCCGAGATGAAATGTTTCCAATAAATTTGACATGATTCAAAGAGAGAGATAGAGAGAGCATGCGAACAAATACTAGATACGGCACGGTAAAATTCGATTACTGAATATAAATGTATCGTAAGAATGGAAGCGGGAAGATAAAATTAACCGCGCTCTCCAATGACTCCCCTGGCCCTGCTCGATCGCTTCACCTGTAGCATTTTGTCCACGTCTGTAAATCATTAGAGAGCGCTATACCAAACAATGAAGATAAATGCTCCCTATATCGTTAAGCATTTCTCCATACAGTTTCAAACTTTTTGATTTATAGAGCCTTTCATTCTTTCGTCTCGTTGTAGATTGCGATGTGATAGATTGCAATGCTGTATGCGGTAAGACAGTCAGCTATCACGGACCATCAGGCTCAATCCAGACCAATGATTTCCCGTCTATTATTCCACCATTCACCAGCTGTGAGTATAACATTACTGTTCGATCTGATCGCTACATCTCTCTTCATTTCGACGACTTCGACATCGAGAGTGACTCTGCGAACTGTATTAATCGTGTGTCAGTACGTACACCAACCGGTATCCTGAAACGCGCACTGTGTGGAAATAAGACCCAGCCTCTCATCATATCCAACTCATCTACGGTCATCGTCGACTTGGACACGGGGTTAGCGGGCAAATCAACTGGGTTCAATCTTGTCTACAACACAACAGGTACGTTCCGGTCGCTATGAAAGAAAATCGGCTTTCCTGGTAGGGAAAGAGCTAAAGCCTAACCCTTTTGTTGAATGCTGAATATTTGTAACTGCCACAATTGCCCAGGCAACCACCACCTCGTATTATTCTGGCCGTTATCGCCTGCACGAATATGTAACTTTAAAGTTCTTATCCAGCATTATTTATGCATAGATGGGAAACCCAAATTATCCAATATTTTGGTCTTGCTCAGTGTAGATCCACCAGACGTGATATGCATTCATTATGTATATATATATATATATATACTTTTTTTCAAATCAAATTTGAAATTCCTCAATAATACAGCCATTTGTGATGGGTCGCCTTTGGGAGTGAAAGAGGAACTTGTGAGAAACGAAAAGGGGGACGTATGAGAAGGAAAAAGAGCACTTATTAAACGGGGAAAGGTACACTTGCCAAAGTAAAAGAGGCACTTTGGGGTTATTTTAAGTGATGGTGGGGGGGGGGGGGTACTGTGCCCCCTCATGTGCCACCTCCACCCCCCCCCCTCCGGCACCCCTCGAGAGCGCCACTTCTGCAGGTGGTAACCTATTTTAATAGTGTGAATAAAGTTTTCGATACCCCTTTTTACCCCTAGAATTAGGAGGCTGTGGATTTGGTCGCGATACTTGTTCGGGTGTGGAGTACTGCACCCTTTCTGCCGCTGTGTTTGTCTCCGTCAACTACCCCTTTCCTTACGCGCCCAATTCACAATGCCGATGGAATATCGTCACACCTGAAGGCTCCTTCGTGACCATAACGTTTACACTCTTCGATGTCGTCTCCGACACCAATGACCAGGAGTGTACTCAAACAGACTACTTGATCGCCTATGATGGGGTCAGTGATGAAGATTCTCAGCCATCAGTCTTGGGACGTTTCTGCAATGCAAACCCACCCTCCAATGACGTCCGAAGCAGCCTGAATGTCGTAGTCATTGAGTTTGTTTCAGATGATGATCTCGAAGGGGGTGGATTCTACGCCGAGTACCGTGCCACCTACACCGAGCTAGATGTAGACTCAACAGCAGGAGGTACAGGTAACACACTTCTTTGGTTCACTCCATCTTCCTATGACTCTCTTCCAATTTATGAAATATAAGAACGATTTGTGTCCGAGTCGAGGCTAAACAATGGTTTATCATTTATATTTTGGTGTTGGGCAGTATTCTCCACTGTTTATCTTGCTGGCAATTGACCATACCGCAATTACTTTTTTCTTCCATAAGCATGAATATGGACCCAAATTATTATTCACAAAATAATTAATGCATATTTCCTTTCTTTCCAGGAATCAAAATCAGTCTTACGTATCTCGTTTAACAATTACAGTTAGCAATAATTAGTTCTTTTGCCAAATTATTGTATAACAAGTTCGATTGTCTCCTTGTTTGTATTCAGAAGCAGAGTACACCTGTCCCGAGGGTTGGGAACTCTTTGGAAGTAAATGCTTTCAGTTTACCTCACTCAACCGGACGATTCGATGGAACGATGCCTCGAAGATGTGTCGAGATATTGGCGCCTTTCTTGTTAGCATTACAACCGCCAAAGAGATGAATTTCATCCACTACATGCTGACGTCATCATGGTTTACCGGCAACAGCATGAATACTTATATTGGTAACACTGATTTTAACGAGATCGCAACTATTCTCGAAAATCAACTCAAGGACAATTTTAATAACAATTTTAGAACCAAGCTTTAATTGTCTTTATTGTCATGATGTTTGAAATTTTAGACTTTTTGCATTTGTACGTGTATTTCATGTGGTGTTAATGAGTAAATAAATTGAATAAAAACATTAACAAAGGATACCGTATTGTACATTATGTCCCGTGGAATCGTGTTTGGATAACATAATACGCCATTGCCATGCTCGCGTTGGTAGGCGACGCACAGGGCCATTGTAATCGTGGTAGGGTGAATTTTCGAAAGTAATTGCTATAATAATAATAGTAACAAATCTTTCTTTTATATCTATTCACCTGTATTCACCTGTCTTTTCGGGCTCCTTAGTAAGACAATGTCTTGAAATGCCCTCCCATAGTTCATCAGTACACCACTGCAAAGAGTTCGTTCTTTAATACTTAATAGGTCCATCGCTGGATCTGTTTAGTATAGACTATTGAGAGAGTGTGCGCAAATCTGTAGGAGGAAAACCAGTAGAATATTTACTTAAACAGAGATGGACATCCAAGGAGAGAGTGAGAGAGAAGGAGTGAGAAAAATATAGAGAGACAGAAAAAGATGGAGAAATATCACGATGTTCAGAGACGAAGAGAATGAATCAGAGATAATGTGGATCACGGGAAAGACATAGATATTCGCGAATGAAATCGGGAATAGGTAGAAAGGTCAATTCTGCTGTTTAACATGTCTAAGAAAATAAGTTGACGGGAGCAAGTTAAAAGCTTTCTACCGATTATGGTTTCTAGACCTCTGATTCAATTTGAAAATAATTAGGATTAAGAAAGTTGTTTATTTGCTTGAATGATTGGCTAATTTCTTACTAAATTTGAATTTTTCTGCATTTTTCTTTGTACTAGGTTTGACAGATAGTGCGAAGGAAGGACACTTTAGATGGGAAGATGGAGGTCCTCTAAGTTATGCAGACTGGTATATAGCAAACAGGTAAAGATACTACTGGTCAGTATTATGAGAACAATATAACGTTCAACGAAACTTCAAGAACAAGACAAAATGGATCGAAAATAAAACAAAAGGAAATAGTGAGCAAAACAAGAGGATGAGAAGACTAAGACCAGGACTAAGGAACAGAAACTGAAAGGACAAGATGAAGGCACATACTGGACAATGAACGAAAGCAACCATAGAATTAGATTCCACTGATGAAAGCCATTGGTATATCAGACAAGGCTTTAAAGCAGAAATACTTTTCTAGAAATGTTCATTTTTGTGCGGGGGGAGGGCTACCTTAATTGACTGACTCCCATTTAAAGAAGGATCCGCCCTCATTGTTTTTAGGGATACGCCCCTCCCCCGAAAAACCGTATTTTTAAAAATATATTCCCCTCTTTAAGTGGTAAAAGGGTTTGAAATATGTGTTAACTCATAAAACTGTATAAGGTCTTGTCTCTTATTCTTTAAAATACATTATCGTCCAGTCCTCAAGAAGACTCTCAACCGAATGGCCATGAGGAAGAAGATTGTACGATGATCAAATTGGACAACCTGCAATCTTCAGCTAATTGGCATGACATATCATGTGCATCACGTGAAGCAAATCAGTTCATTTGTTATCAAATGGCTGAAGGTAATATAATCTTTTTATAAAAGATCCAAGTTACATGTTGCGAGAAAAATAAGATGGGGCGATTCGAGAAAAAGAAAATTTTGAAAGATAAAAAGCAGGCGCAGTTGTAAAAGAATACTTTCACATTCATCTTGGGTTTCCTGCCTACATTTTCTCCATGTTCCTCACTTAAATTCATGATCAAGAATATTATGTTGGGAGGGGATGGGTTTAGCCTAGAACCACTACTGATGGAGAGATAGTGAAAGATATTGAGAGAAAAAAATGGAGAAATAAATTGGTAGAGGGAATTGCGGGCGACTTTAGTGAAAGAGATTGATAGAGAAAAGACCGCCCCAAAACAGATCGAGTAAAGATTAGAAAGAGTGTGAGAATGGGAAGATGTAATTGAAGTTATATACTCATTGAAGAAGTTGAGAAGTTTTATAGAAGAAATGTGAAGGTAAAGGAGAGAAAGAGAGAGAGAGATAGGAATTTCGAGAGAAAGAGAGAGAGAGAAAAAAGAAAGAAAGAAGAGAAGAGGGATAATGGTATACAAGCCGTATAAGGCACATGGCTCATGTATCGAGGAATTAATTATATTCATGCGCGCTCTGAATGCAAATTGCTCAATTGCTCCCATCTAATAACACTTTCACTGTCACAGACCGCTCTTTCCCAATAACACTTTCACATCACAGATTTGCACTGATCAACATCAGATCAACACGACATTAAACAACTAAAGAAACTTTACGAGCATCGATCAATGAAACACAGAAAACTGCGAGAAAATTTGTTTGTTGAGAATCTTGTTTTTCAGAAAACGCAGTTGTCGTACAACATTACGAAAAATAAACGAATATAGAAAATACATATGTATGACATGAGATATTTACGAGATATTTTTGAAACATCAGCAATAAACAGTAGTGAATGATTTGAACGGATAGTCTCAATGAAGAGTGCACATGCCTCTTTGATTGTCAAAGTTCAAGAGTTTGTCGTCATCATTCACTTGGCTAGCATGATCCTACTGAAGACCAGGCCGGAGATGAAGAGGGTATCATGGATGGCGGTGATGATGGCTTGGAGTAAGGAGGACACAGGAAAGTAGGATTGACACGATGAGCGATGCGGTACCCGGCTGCATCGCTGGTGGTAGTAGATGAACTCAGGGTAGATGTCATCGGATTGGAGTATGCTGAGCTCGGGATAGTGAGGGGTATCTTCTCAGCAACATCAGGTCGATATGTCGCAGGAACTGCAGCAGGAAAACAGTACGGATGACTTGATGGAATAGTAGGTGGGGTGAAAAAGGCAGCACTGGCTGGGTGATATGGTGTTGTATTCAAGGGGATTGGATGCATCCCGGGTAGCATGGCTAGCTGTGACTTGGAGATCATATCAGGATAATGAGCATACGTCATCGGGATGTAGCCGGGGTGGATAGGGCTCGGGATGGCTGACGGGTAGGCGTAGGGAGAATAACTGACTGATCGTGCTCGGCGACGAGCTTGCCGTCTCCTGTAATCACCACGGGCGAAGTCTTCAAGGTTAGCGGGATGGATTGCCCAGAAATGTCCTCTGCCGTCTCCGCTACGTCCAGCCTTGATGAAGCACTCGTTGAGGGAGAGATTGTGACGAATACTGTTCCTCCAGCTCCTTTCGTTATCTTTGAAGAACGGGAAGCGTTTCATGATGTATTCATAGATGTCACAGAGCAAAAGGTGCTTGTCTTGTGAGTTGATGATAGCCATAGCAATCAGGGCAATGTATGAATGAGGAGGTTTCTTCGTTGATGGCGGGCTATCACAGATTGATGAAGCTCCTGAGCTGGCGTTGTCTGATGGACTCAGAGCTTCAATGCTGCTTTCAGTGCTAGATGGTCTTTCACCAGTCTGTTCTTCTTGCTGAACGAGAACCTTCATCTTAGGATGGTATCGTATCTCGGGGCTGTAACGTTGAGGCTTACTGTCACTCTGGGCAAGGTTTTCAATGCTGAATAAAGTCATGATGAAATGTTGGAACGAGAGGCGTTTGATGTGTCGTCGTTAGCCTGAGCAAAATGGAAATGTCTTCCCGTTTAGGACACCCCTCGTACTTATAGCCCCAACCTAAACCCTTCACATCAATCATCCAGTAGGAGAGATCATCGCCTAATGTGCTACATTCATGTTGATGATTAGGGCATCAATGGACATTGTAGACAAACAATAATCTCTACTCGGTTGCTGGTTAAGCAGGACTGCCAGTCATGACCAAGACAATGACCTTTAGCCCTTCAACCTGACAACGGGATGTCAATCACTAATCACTCGTCAGTGGATGATCGTGACGTATTCATTGATAGGCGGGGCTTCCCGGCACGCACTATTGTTATTGGTCTAAACATCGGACAATTGAAGCCACTGACAACAGGGTGTGTTAATCCAGGGGTGACCATTATATTCTTTCACGAAGTCAGCTTTCTTAGAGCATTATTAGCAATTCAAACTTCGGAGAAAGGCCATAATGACAGGGCATTGATGAAGGCGTTGTAATTACCCTGCCTTTCACCAGTATTGGCAAAGAAAGACCAGTTTCCTTTCCTCGAAAAAACAATCCATCCCGTCCGTCATTAGCACTTCATTAATAAGCTTCTCTTCATTTCATCCTAACCAGAAGAAGAGAATCTTTCGCATTCAGAATGATCTTGGCTTTGAGAGATTCCACTTAAGACGATTGATGATCGACATGGTATCCTGCTATGTTTCCAAGACCACAGACATTGTAATTGGATTGAATAAAGCTAGATAAGATATTCAGAATTACTGTCTTACTCCGCCCGTGTGCATGAAAAAAAAAAAACATTAAAGAGTTCAACAAAAAAATTTACTCGTACAAATTTACGAATATTTATGAATTACGAATTTGATATGTCATAAAAGCGCTCATGAATGAAAGGTTACCAACCATCCATCATTAATTTATGCATGAATTGGCGTCTATCTGGTAAGCAGTAGAAAAAAACTGTTGCTCCATTTTATATATTTTATAATATATGAGGTTCAATTGGAGAAAAAAATTTAATATAATATATGGGCAATGCACTACACACAATATTTGATTTTGGGATGTAATATGCCTTACTTGAATATTGACGTAAATTAATATATTGACGGCATATAATTAGTATGTGATTAAACAGATATGATATATTAAATCTTCCAGGAAACGCAATGGTCCCCTCGCGAATCGGAGACTTGTCAACAAAAGGTAACATTTGTATATGTTTTTATTTTGTATTAATTTTAAAACTTCTTTCATTGTTTACCAAAAATAAGTGTTAATGTTTTTGTAAAACTTAAAAGATACACGGAAACACCATAATTAATTGCATAAGTATGTATATAAATGTGTACATTCCTTCAAATTGGATTATGTATTTAGGAAATGACCAGCAATAATTCATATGAATTTTGTTAGTGTGTTCTGCATAAATTATGACAAATCATATATATATATATATATATATATATATATTACTATTAGCATGGTTAAAGCTCAAGCTATTAATTAGGCATAAAATGTAACTTTAATTTACGACTTATGAAGAGAAAAAAGCATTCCATTATAAAATATTTTAATTATCTATTATATAATACAATTTTTTAAATTCAGATATATCATATTTTAAGATTCTTTCTTCACTTCGTCTTAATCCCATTAGAATGTCCCTCTGGAAGTCGTCGAATAGGAGACACGTGCATATCGCTTGCCTTAGCAGACAACAGTCAAACCGCTCTGTTGCCATGCCAACGCATCCAATCCTCCGTCCTCCTACCTCTACCACGTCTTACCTATGTTCTTGGTCTTCTATGGCCATTCAGATCGATACCAATAGGCATCTCCATCGACATACAAGGTATGAAATATATCCTGGCTTTAGAACGGTATAAATAGAGTTCAGAAAATAACATGCTATCTAACAAAGGCTGATCAGGATTTTTTATTTTTTTAATTAAAGAATAAAAGAAAAAGAGCTCATGAGATGCTACCATCAAGTCAGATGGAATTTTTAAAAAGCCTAGCTTTACAATGTTCAATTTATGATGATATTGTGACTGTCCTGTTCAATTCAATGCAATCAATATTGATTAATTTCCATAACTCAATCAAAACATGACAAAAATGTTACATAACATGAATATTAAATGACATTTGCAATGTAATATAGAAAATGAAACTTATTTGTAATTATACAAGATGAAATGTCCACAAGTAATCAAAGCATATTAGGATATAAAATAAATAAGCATAATTTTATCATAAGTCGAATTTTAAAGGGAAAGATAAGTCCACTTAAAAAACAGAGTCTATATTTGTCTGGATTACTTGCAAAAGAAAATAAAGAAAGGAAGAAAGAAAAGTAAAGAAAAGTAAAGAAACCAAATGAAAAAATGAAAAAGAAAAAAAATAAAGAAATGGAACCCGTACATTTTTGGTTTAAAATTACATAAACATAGAAACTGTTTGACAGATGACACGTTGGCTTTTTTCTCATCCAGGTACATACGACATACAGGAACAAACGCTAAGTTCACGGCCCGATGACGTCACCTCTGATTCTTGTCATGTGATGGAATACAATGGCGATGATTGGCAGCTAGTTGAGAGGGACTGCGCACAGGCTCATTATGGCAGCATGTGTTACTTTGTTGTGTCTGGTAAGAGAATGCTAATCGTCCCATTGTCAAAGTTCTTCAGCTTTCCCTTTAAATCCTTTGATATCCTGTATACACGAGGATAATTACCAGTTTCATAAATAGGAGAATTGCATTCAGAAAACAAGCTTTTATCTTCGAGCTTTGCCAAAAAGCGGGTAATCGTTGTTAATTTAGTTGTCTGGAATTTCATCACCTGTCAGTAGTTTATATTACGAGATTTAGAGGGCGTTAGAAATATAAATGTTGAATACTGTTTTGTGTGTATCTGCATCATTTATTGTATTAGCAATATGAAATCTTGCTGATATAAATATTCATTATATCAGCAATATGACCGTTGCAATCTTCACTTAATAAAGAGTGAAAAATCACCGACTTCTTTAGTAAGTTTAATTATAGTAAATAACTTGATCATACTACTGGATAGGCTACTTCTTAATTTCTTTTGATTTTTATTTTTATTTTAATCTATTTATTCCTGTCACTTATCTCAACTATTAATATTACAATGTGATGGTACATCTTATCTGATGCCGTCCTCTTTTGACGTCAGTATATTTGGGATGCTTTATCTGTAGTGAAATTTATTTTTTAAAATGTTATTGAGGCTATTTACCCATATTCACGATTAATGGGGTGGTTCAGCACACAAACATATCAACAAAATCTTAAAGGTAATGCAAAGTTTTGGGAAATTTTGAAAATTTAATGGATAGTAATTCTTTAAAATGTTGATATATGTGGATGCCCCTGTGGATGTATTATAAGTACTAGAAAATTTAGCCCCTTAAACAATTCTGCTTTCGAGCAAATTAAATAATCAAAATTTACCGGTGCTCCAGGTAATTTTAAATATTTCAAATAGCGCCTAAGGCCATTCCATGGTAGCTGCGACCATGAAAATCTCAGAATATGCAGTTCTGATATATTATTTCCAAACGGGAGTATTAAATCGGTCGATTGTAGTCAAGAAGCATTGTCTTAAAGCTTAAGTAATATCAGTCTCGAGAGGGAGCTATACAACATAAAGAGTTTATTATTTACAATTTCATCACTTTAGACTAGATTTCGATCGCGACGAAGATCATTGAATATTGTAAAATCGCATATGCTTCCAATATGTTCATTTGAACCAAATTCATGACCCCATACCAACACTTTGTATTACCTTTAATATATCATGGGGTGCAACGCCCTTCTTCCACACCTACCCTTGCCATGGCTGATTCTTCTTGATATGTGTCTTGCCGAGGTGGGCGAAAACGGGGCGGGCGGGGGGGGGGGGGGTAGAAAAACCCATCCCCCTTATGATGGATAATATTCCTAGATTTCATCGGCACATGATTTTACCCGGGGCTCCTTTACCATTCCTCATGTCTTCGTTTCACATATTAAGAATAAGTCCTACTTCACAAGGGGAAAAAATGGTTGATACTGCAAGGAATGATTCGGTGTATTGAAGCATAATGAACAAGGAGTATACATTACAAGGAATGGCAAGAAATATAATGGCAGAGTAAATAAATTGTATTGCATCTGTTCTTGTTTGTTCAACAGATCTTGTGAATATCTGTGGCGATAACATGTTTGAGTGTCTGAATGGAGAGTGTATTAGATCAGTACATGTTTGTGATGGACAAGAAGAATGCATAGGAGGAGAAGACGAAAAGAACTGTGGAGGTTTGTAAACATGTTGCCCCTAACAACGGGACATACTTCTGATATTTGTGGGTCAAACCACAATAGTAGTAGTGAATCTGAGAGGGTTATCTGTCTACCAATGTGCCTAAAAGAAATCAACATTCTTACTTGAAACTTGAAACTTGAAACTTCCATTAACATATTTTGGAAATTCAAATGTGAACACTTTCTGTGTGATTGATTATAATTTATTTATTTCATACATCCTAATTACAACATCGTGTTTATTGATATTACCATAGCAACCATTCCTACGAATACAAATAAACATGCTTTAAAGTATTTTCCAGCCTTTGATTTTGAGTAGTACACACGTACAATTATTGAATAGTTTCGATATACGTTTGGTATAATATCCAGACAGCTGAATAATATGTTAATATCAGTAACCCTTAATTAGGTTCGTATTCTTTTAATATAGATTCGGAGTTTATTGATGATATCACTGCAGCTCCATCTTGCCCTGACTCAAGTTTCCAATGTGATATGGGTCGATGTATCTCAGCTTCATTCTACTGTGACTATGTACCTCACTGCCAAGACATGTCGGACGAGGAGCATTGTGGTAAGTATATTCAGACAATGCTATTTCACCTTGATGTAGTAACAATAAATGAAGGTTAAATTAAATTATTGTATTCAGTGTATGACAACGCATCAAAGAGTTTATTATTTTCTCCAAACACAAATCACATTTTCACTGCCGTTTCTCAAACAAACATTGGAAATAGATTATATCTATAAAACGTATACTCTGTATGAACTAAGTAAACAATGTGAATATTTCGTGTATAAATTTTATATAGTCTCTAAAGTCTAAAATGTAATGACTAATTGGAAATTGTTTAAATATCACATAATCATCTTCTAAATTATATAATGTCTTAATGATAACTGAACTGAAATATGCCAACTTTTTCAATATAATAAAAAGTGTAGATTTGGCTTTCAATTGTTTAAGGATACAATATGTAAGGATTAATTAGAAATAACATAATTAACAGTGAAATTATGTCATGTTCAATTGGTAAATACTGAAAACGTACAAAACAACAGACACTGACTACCCATGGAAGTCATTGTACATTCAATACAGGTTTTCAAGGATGCAACAAACGTATCAATCAAAACACATTAGTGAATGACAGGAGATTAAGGGATGTTTCAAAATGGCGGATTTTAAGTCTTTTCAGGAACCCGGATAATTCGTCTATTGTTTCCTGTAGGCCTAATGATACTTAGAAAAAACAGGTTAAAGACTCATTTAGAGGTGATTAAGAGCTTTAGTAAATTAAGTTTTTCGCACCTTTCACTGCCTTTCATGAGTGTAGGATTAGCATGTTTCTGACTGGACAACTAAATGTCAATTTCGGAAGGAATTCGAGCAGCCTGCTGCCATCTTTGCCCGGCCCCCCCACTCAGTGTTATTTAGGGTACGCATATGCTCGTTCCCTCTTTTTGAAATCACCCCCTATCTGAGAACTGCCAACATTTCCGAACCCCCCTTTCGCGGGCTTTTCGCGGGCTTTTCCTGCCTTGGAGACCCCCCCCCCCCCTAAATCAGGAAAAATGCTCAATGTACCCCCCTAAATTCGGAATAATTTCTAAGGAGTCCAAATAAATGAGAGAAAAAAAGAAAAAACACCCCCTTTTTAAAGAAATCTCCGGGTGAAAAGTCAAATACACCCCTTTTTTTACAATTCTCGGGCCGGACTTTGTCGCACGAAAAGTACCCCTTTACCGGACATTTTGGCAACACGCATGCGGTCATTTCGAAACCTGAGTGGGGGGGGGGGGGGGCGGGCATCTTTGAAGCCAGCTGTCGGGCTTTAAGTTGATGATTAACATAAAATCTTGCTTAAGAAGCGATTAAAAATCATAAATATCTTTACAATGATTTAATGACTACCCTTTATAATTATGAGCTGTATTGGAATACATTCTGTGAGGAAATCGTAATCATATTTCAAATCATAAAATCACTATGTGATTTATTGATGTATGCAACAGATGTAAAGAAATTAATTTAATTAATTTAACTTAATTTTCATATTAGACCCTTTATATCATATATTTTGGGGATTATCGTTCTGTTAATTCGTAAAAGCAGCGCAAATTCGTGAATGTGAACAAAGTTGCGCTCAGGTGACGTATTATTTGAGCTATAAAACAGACCACCGTCCTTTATAGTACATTAAAACAACGTTTCAAAACGGAGTCTGTTAAAATGTAGAGTAGATAGAGATGGAGGCCTGGGGAGATGGAGAGAAAAAGGAGAGAGAGAGATAGAGATAGAGAGAGAAAGAGAGAGAGAGGGAGAAATATATATATATATATATATATATATATATATATATATATATATATATATATATATATAATTATATAAAGAGAGAAAGATCGGATAGAGAGAAAGAGAGAGAGAGAGAGAGAGAGAGAGAGAGAGGGAGAGAAAGAGATTTTTTTAAATGGGGTGGCTCTTTAATATTCATGCTAACCTTTATAAGCTATTTTTAATAAGAAGGTACAGGGTGAGTGATTCTACTATTAAATCATGACATTAGAGAAGAAATCATGAACATATAACAAAATAATATACAACGATCTATTCAGTGAGGAAACCGATTGGAAGGAGACCGTGTTAAAATGTCTGCAGGAGTAAAGATACCCTCACAAGGAAGGGATTGATAGGCAGGGCAAGCTACATCCTACCTCATATACGATGGATACACCTCTACCCATCACACCTGTTATAGCCACTTGCGAACCATGACCCAAATCCTCCTCCTCAAAATACCTCTTAAAATACAGGAGTGTCACCTCCACACAAATGAGGGACATTAGTAGGTGGATAACGGAGTAACAATAAAAGGTGTTAAACGGCTAATTCAGCTTTTAACTAATCTACTTCAAGCACGAGAATATTGTTTTGTTACTTTCTTTAAACGATTACGAAGGTGGTATGTGATAAACAATCGACTCATTATAATGACAGGCACTTCAACTCACAAATTAAAAGTACTTTCACACTTCGAAGACACAACTTCATATACATGTAACATTAGATTAACGCTTCCACACTATACTTTCAATGATATTGTAGTTTATTGTCACCTGAAGATGTGAGTTGGTATGAAAAGGCAAGGGAAATTATTAGCATTTAGAACGGTTCGATTGGCAATTCTAGTAATAAAGTAAATACAAATTTAATTCGGAAACCAATATAACAATATATATACTTTTGTTTTGTGTAACGATGAAACAAAATTAAAACAATGCATGAGGCGAAATAGCATAATGATTTACGATATGGGAAATGGTTGTTATATGTATATTTTTTGTTGTTATTATTTTACAGCCTATCCGCAATGTAAGGATGATGAATTTCAGTGTAGCAACGGACAATGTATCGAGGCATCTCAGCAGTGTGATATTATTCCAGATTGTGTGGATGGTAGCGATGAAGAACTGTGTCGTAAGTCAAGTTTTATTTTTAAAAATTTCTTTTCCTCTATTTCTTCCATTTTATGAGAGATGATATTATTCGAATTTGTCCCGTAAAATATCTTGAATATCACTATACTGTAATTTTAGTCAATAACGTAGATAAAGGGGCGGTGGAAAGTGCCCCCAATCGAATGACAATAAAGGAAGAAGTGGAGAAAAGAGGGAGAGAGAGAGAGAGAGAGAGAGAAAAAAAAAAAGAGGTGTAGTTGTGCAAATTTGTGCACGCACTTCGGAAATCACTTTTAACCGCCACATCGCTTTTTCTAAATCATATCTATTTTATGACAATTATACATGTTTGAACGATGCACGGTCTATGGATCTGTGGATAGTAGCGTTGTGTACAAAATGCTTTTTAAGAAACCTTTTAACTTGGTTAATTTCATTGGTTTACAAATTCCTTATGTATTCTTCTGTTTTTTCTTTGCACAGAGTTCTGTTCAGGAGAAACCTTTCAGTGTTACGATAGTAGATGTATCCCTAATAGATCAGTATGTGATGGGAGTCAAGACTGTCGTGGACTTAATAAGGAAGATGAACAATCATGTGGTACGAATGGCATCACAATACGCTAATCATTATCTTTAAAATTATGGTTGCAAACCAAACCAAACCAAATAAATAGTCAATATTATGTATAATAATTATTTTGTCATCACCTAAACTTATCCATGTTTTGTTTCCTATTTCTGTTCTTTGTAGACTAAGTCTGAGTCTGTGTTTATATGTGAGCGAAACATGTTGAAAGTACATTGGACAATTGAATACATGGAATTGAATTATTGTCAAACTCGACATTACAAATTACCTTTTTCCAAATCACTTCATGTCCTTATTTTGATGTCATACACATTAAATCTGAAATCATGTAATATTTATTTCTCTTTTTATTTTTGTTTTAAAATGTGTTATTCTTCCCAGCATATTTTATCCACTCCTCTGCAAGGATCGCAGTCGTAATGGCTTTCAAGAAATCAGTTTTAGGACGATTTTAATACCACATTGTATTGCCTACATAAATTATTTTAGGATTGTTTTGATACACGATTGTATGTCATTGTCAAAGTCACGCATTTCAAAACTAAGGTAGCGCACAATGCTATTGAAATTGCTTTGGGTTAATCTTTTGGAGAGTCATTTAGGTCGTGTTGAGGCCTATTTATTTCCGAAATACGATTCCACAATATTCCCCTTTCTACATTTCGTTATTGGAATTGCTTTCATTCTCTTTTGAGACATGTATAAATTGCTTTCAACGAACAGCGTTTCACAAAATCGTCATTAGTGCAAAACCGTCAACAGCCCATTGAAACGTGTATATTACATGTTACACGCGTTGAAATGTGACGTAAGTCAATTTTTATTTTCGTGAAAATGCGCCCTACCGTACATGGTCGTGTACTAAACTTAAACAATTATTAACCATTGATATTACAGAAAGCCGTGACGATGATAGATTGAGGTGTTTAAACGGTGAGAAGCTAGAGTCGAGGCGGCGCTGTCTCTATGACTTTGATGAGTATGGATTGCAACAAGGCTGTCGTGACGTCACTCATCTTCGTGATTGCGGTGAGTAGTTTTCTATTTATTTGTTTACCTGTATTTGTTATGTGTTTATGTCTTCCTCTTTGGCTTCACATTTTTAAAACTGATTCATAAAGTCAACAGTTGTAACATCATTTCTGTGGATGGTTGGTTCACATAATTGTTGCTTTCCTTACTGGTGTTGTCCATATCTTCTATTTGTGTCTACTTTTTTAATCCATTGTAGGTGACATCGAATGTTTTGGAAACACGTTCAAGTGTCCAAATTCGTATTGTCTCCCTCTACGACGACGATGTGACAGTGCTGCCGATTGTCCAGGCGGCGAAGACGAGTTTGAATGTGGTGAGCTGAGTATAGTATGATGGACGAGTTTTGAAATCTTATTCATGCATAGGGGCCTACATGCATCAATCAGGAGGGAGGAGTGGGGGGGGGGGGGGGGACAATAGCAAGAAAAGTGTTTTTATTGTAACATCAATTATCAATTACTATGCTAACACAGTTGACAATGATCAATAAATCCTGACCACATTATGAATTCGCAATTTCCTCATGACTGAGTTAAGAGCCCACATATTTGCTAAAGCAGGCGTCTAATATAATCAACGCATCTTTTAATAAACTCGCATAATTACGGAGAGGATTATCATGTAATATGTCCTCATCTTGTTAATACTGGCTATGTCTGTAAATCTGATCAATATTAGAATCATATTCCTGTCCTGGATTTCTACGATGCCACGGAGAGAGGTACTGTGTTACAGACGATCAGATCTGTGATGGGGTAAAGGACTGCCCTGATGGTGATGATGAAATGTTCTGTGGTAAGTTAGAAGAGAGATAAAGAAATAGAGAAAGAAAGAGAGAGAGATAAAGAGAGAGAGAGAGAGAAAAAGCGAGAGAGACAGACAGACAGAGATGGAGGGGATGTGGAGGTAGGGGAAGAGACAGACAGAGACGGGAGAAAGAGAAATAGGTAGAAAGAGAGAGAAGGAGAGACTTAGTAAGATAACGAGAGAGAGAGAGATGGAGAGAGGGAGAGAGAAGAGGTGGTGGTGAGGGATGGCGTCGAAAGAGTTATACAACAGGGTGAATAAAGTGAGATTTTAAGTTTTAATTCAAGAATAAAATTGTATTAGGATATTAGATAAATATTAGGAAGGAAAAAAATTCGCTGCTTCAAAATTAATAACCATAATATCATGGGGGAGAAGAAAATGAAAAACGAATTCGACTAGCTGAAATGACAGAAAGTTATCGTTATCTTTAAACTTTTTGTTTTCATTTTTTCTAGACATCGCTTGCCCCTCTGGATGTTCATGTGATGGTCTCAGTTTTGATTGTCGTTCGTTCGAGGTATGGACACCCGAGCTGGCTGCTAGTATCCCTACAGATGCTCGTCAAATGTGAGTATTCATAGATAGAACACACTGAACCTTATTTCATCCCCAAACTATGTTGCAATGCGTCAACAAAGCGGGCTTGCTTCCTACATTATGCTTCCCTTATAGAGAAGAATCAGTCCCCCTGTTCAGCTTATTTCTGAAAAAGTCGGCTATATGCGTAGACCAAGATTATTAAAAGGGGTGGGGGCAAACTGAATTGAATAATTGGGAGAAAATTGTCCCCAATCCCTTGGAAGGCCACTTTGCGAATAACGATAAGAATAATTAAGCGTTTAATAGTTGTTACTTTATTGTAACGGGGAGGGGGGGGGGGGGTCCCCGTTGTTGATCATCATTTAACTTCTGACCTTCACACTACTCTGTCCTTACATGTGATTGTGCATTTCATTTGCAGAATAATCGCCGACGTTTCTCAAAACAGCCGAAGTAGGCGAGCCGCAGATATCACCTGGAACCAGACGACGATAGAGGACGTCCTTTATCTCAGTTTATATCCGTACACCCTTCTCCTCTCATTGTAAGTTCATTATGTAGGTTTTAATAAGATGCGCATTGGTTTAACTTCAGGGTTTCTATTTTCACGCTTCAATGCACCTGTTCCAAATCAATGTATCTGATCACGTCAGCAAAAGCTAAATTCAATGATTATTCTTTGTCAAGTGAAGTTAAAATCATTGTTTATCAATGATTGATTCATGTGTTACCGCTATCATAAACACATAACTTATTTGTGTTTGATCTGCATGATTTGCGCTATTTTCTAATACACTTCTTGAATTTCGGGCATACTCAATATATTTCTAAATGTCACATTACAGTATTATGTTTATATTGTACTGATTATTTATATCATTATCTCAAATAAAATTATATTGGTCATTAGCAATCGCAAATTTGAAGTGCTTTACAATCAAATTAATGGTCACCTGTTTAAATACGTAGCAAACAGCTGATATTACTGCAATCCTCGATTGACCATTGCCGATACAGTACAACGATTGGCAGCAGAATTTAATAAAATACAATTTTTTTTCCGATGTACATTATTATTTACAATTTGTATAAATGGATTGTCTCAATATGTTAATTGTTTGACCTTGATATGAGGATTGGTATTGTTATTATTTCAAACAAAACTGTTATCAAATAGTAATTATGTTTTACAGGGGACTTCCTGGTAATGGAATCGAAGTGATTATAAATGGAACGTTTATTACTCAACGAAATCTGAAGAAGTTGTAAGTAAACATTTTTCTTTTAGAAGATTTTTAGAAGACATTGTTTTACCATAGCGATCAAGTCAGTTTTTAAGACCTTTTTTGCTATAGGAATTGAATACAGTGTTTTAATGCCCCACTGCACTACTTAAAGCTACTTGCGCCCTCTATATAGCAAACGATGCCTAATCGGTGACCGTTGGTCCCCCATGATCCCCTTTTTCTTATGTTAATTGAGAGCTTATTTCAAGAGATAACCACCTGTCAGCGACCATGCAGGGAGGTCTAATTCCTTCTGGCCAAACTAGTGCAATGGGGCTTTAAAACGGCTCGCCCTCGAACATGAGAGGATTTCTTTTTTCTTTCTGGGCAATTCTAATTACCGCTTGAGCAAGCAGTTGCCATGTTTATGGATTAAAATATAGATGATATTTGCTTTCGTAAACTCCACGACAATCAGTATTACTATAGCACTTCTTTAATTAATACAATCAAGCATGAATGGGTTTACTTCTTTCTGTAGATAATTAATGTCACAATATAGTACAACAAATTGTATATTGGCCCATTTTTTTTACAGAGACCTTTCGAGGAATAACATTTGGATGCTATACTCTGACACTTTCCGTGGGTTGAATCAACTAACCGAACTGTAAGTATAAAATGTATTCATGCCAAAAACTTATTTAATGATCCCTCAGAGAAGAACCCATTTTTTGTCCACGACTTTATTCAAATAAAAACTGTATATTATTCTGCGATTGTTGTGATTGATAGGAGTTAAATCATAATAACATTGTATAAGTTTAGAATGAAATATTTACTCGTGTCATGAAACTAATACCTGACGAATCTTACAATTTTGTAATGTTTTCACAACAATGTTATCACTACCTCTTTACATGTCCAGGAAAATGCGGCATTGTTCCAACCCCTTTCAATGACCTTAGTCGTTAAGGTTGCAACGCTTCTTAAGCTATGGTCACAAATCTGAGCAGCGACCGACCGATCAGTAGCCTGCTCGGTCGCTGCTAGAATTTAGGCATCGCCCAGCGATTAGGTCGGTGCCCGGGCGGCGACCGGCCAGGCACCGAGCGCATTTTGGGCGGGCGAATGAAAAGTGAGCAGCCGCCGGGCAGAATTGGTTAAAAACTCGCCGCTCGGCCGCCGAGCAAGCTACTTTTGGGTAATGTGACCATAGCATTAGACACATGACGTATTCAAACATTCCACCCCTCCCGGCCTGATGACCCTAGGTCCGCCACTGTTTTATATTCAAAGATAATCCCATGCAAGGCACAGTCTTATTAAGATATATGATGTTCATAGTCATAACAATAATTATGTTAAAGGCTTATAACATGACTGTCTTGCCTTTCTTTCACAGTGACCTGTCATCGAACCCCTTGACGGTCCTACAGCCCGGTGCCTTCAACTCTCTGCACAGTCTACCTGTCTTGTAAGTTTGACCAAGGAGGTGGGATTTTCATACAATATTAAATCCTCACCTTAGTTACCGGCATGTAGATAAGTTTTTAAATACATTCACTCCACGTATAATCCATGGGCACTGACTTTGATACCTTTTCTTTCTGTGAAAGCCTTTTATGAAACGTAGGATATAATTATTTAAAGTTGATACTCTAAGCAAATAAATGTCCCTTAATTTGTTACCTACGGCAAGTATATGTTATTTTTAAGTTTTTCAATTACTTAGTATATCACAAAAAAATTCTGTCTACTCGAAATCCTCAATTGAAATGTCTAAAATATCCGCCTCTCTTTGCATAGAAAATCAGTCAAGGCGCTGGTCTACTATTTATGACCTCACGTCCGGGAGACAGTATATTCACGTACCCGGATGTTCCATAGCAAACATGTGCAGAGTGATACGATTTTCTGCATATTTTTGTTTCAAAGGCTGAAAAGTCTAATAAATCATAATTCTATGTACAATTCTTTACCTTCCCCTAGTACTTCATAGTATTAATATCAATTCCCCTTTTAAAAATTATGACATATACATGCCAACGATGTGCTATTAGTCGATATTTTCACCATGTAATTTTTGTTTTGGTGTTGAAATCGGCCCATGCAGGCACGGAGTGAACAGTAGCTGTCTACCCATGCACAGTTCATCACACTACAGCGATCTCCCGATGGTTTCTTCTTCCTTTTTCCCATGTCTTTCGCCTTCCTTGGCCCTGAACATCCTTCATCTACCAATTCTGACACCGGTAGTCAGGAGCAAGTCTTTGTTAGTTGTTTTTCTTAGCTGGCAACGTCGCTTTCATTCTCTTGCAATTGCCGATAAACATATAACTAGCGCACGTACGTTCCATCACAAGCAAGCAGCGCCTAGAGCAGCGGCTTGGTCTTACCTCCCGATTCTGCTCGCTTCACGAACGTTCATGCAAGAGCCGCATCACTCGCCAAAATATTATAGAGGAAGCGCGCTTGCATGATCTCGTTCAAGTTTGATGTTTTACAACATAAAATGTTTAACTGGTACTGTATCCTTTTTTGAGGCAGTCACACACATCTATGATAAGTACTATCATAGTTCTAGACCTATTCGTTTTACAAAACTGCTCATGTACATCTGATGACAATATAATGCATCCGCCTATTCATAAGTGCACGATTTAACTTTAATTCCTAAGCAGTAAACTCGTCTTAAATCTCTACCAAATAGGTGAATATGAGGATATAAAAAGAAATCTGCGACTGGAAAATGTTGCTTCGTTATTCTTCATTCAAATGAAAACAGAAAATCCATCAAATATACTCCTTAACAACAACAAATCTAAGCTCTGACAGGATAGCATTTACGTAGGGATATCACTGCCATTCACTCTCACTGAGCCCATGACTCCCGTTCGTGACGTCACGGATAGAGGCCTGACTCTACGTGCACTTCCGGGTTTCAGACTTAGATATTTTGGTAGAGTTTACTCAAATAAATTCATTATTCTAAACTTGTTTTGTCGGGTGGACACCATTTGGTGTTATTATGGGGGTTAAAAGCTTTCTATTTATGTAATTATCTCAGTATTTGGGATTGTCTTAGAGTATCAGCTTTAAGGATTTTCTGTCTACGCAAATTTAAGTTGATTTTACCTCGAGTACTTCTTTATTTCCCAACATTGTTTTGTTTTGGATATACATCATGTACTTTTCATAAAAGTATACATACTTATTAAACGTCAGCGCCATTTGTATTTACCAAAAGGAAAAATGACATAATCATCAGGAAAAGTTATTATGCCATTCGTCAAACGTTTCATCGCAACAGATCTTTTACAAATCTGATACGCAGTTTGTGACTTGCTAATTTTAAATGATCATAATTAGGATAGCCTTCGTATGACGTTCCTAAAATTATGAACTGAATTCTTTTTTTAAAGATGATAACAAATACTTAAATTTAAAAAAATAAAAAATATTAGAGAAACATTTTTTTTTCTTTATCATTCAGACGCTTGCAGAATCTTGAGCTAACAGCCCTTGAAGAAGGCGCTTTCGTTGGACTCGATTCAGTTCGAATCATGTAAGTATATTATGATATCAACTTTGTAAATGAGCCGAAGATGAACTGCTTGCATTGGCAATTTTTATTTTAAATTCGGAAGCATTAAATTGTTTTTTATATGCATTTTAGTCAAAAGCAATATTAGCATGATTATACAAATTCTGAATCAATAAACTTATTATACGAATTATGAAAAAAAAATGACTATCCTCATCATCATCATCATCGAAAAGTGAACATAAATTGGCATGGTGATATAATTATATACAGGAGGTTCTATTTGTTGAGATGGTTATTTCATCACAATAATCACCGAATATGTCAAATATATTGCGAATTTTATATTGACATTGTGTAATTCAGAAAGCTTTTGAGAGAGTAGCACCGGGAGCTTCGGTTTACATTAAAGTGCATTTCTATCTTTTATATTACAGAAATCTAGCAGACAATAAAATTGAGCGAGTGACGTCAGGAGCTTTTAATGGTCTGAACTACACGCGCACATTGTGAGTATATATATATATATATATACACAAAGTTATAGATGGATACGTGTTCATAACAAAAGTTCGTGGAATGAAAGCATTTCAGGATGCAAAGGTGGAAGTATTCTTTTAAAAAAAGGGACCAAAAGCTGTTCATGAAACACCTCCTTTAAATTAAGTTTATTCTAAAATGCGTTGGTACACGTACCTGTCCGTGTGAATATGTGTCACATCAAGGAGTTTTAAGAGAGATGGAGTCACATCTAGCTTATTCTATTTGTTCCATCTTCGATGCCGCCATGAGAAACTATGTCAGGCATGTACTTAACTGGTTCTTCCTTGCAGATACGTAGTAAAAAGATTTGATTTGATTTGATTTTATTTTATTCAGACAATATAAAAATATATACATGTCTTGGGTTACAAAACAAGGTTTAGAAAAACCCATACAAGTTTGCATCCCAGATATGGACAGTAAAATGGCATACATAATTACACAGTAAATACTGATACATAAAATATCGAAGTATGACATAGGTTATAGTTCAATATAAATACAACAACAGAAATACAAGTTAGAAATTGCAAGACACTTCTATTTCAAAAATCTAGATTGAGATGTTTTACCAGAGCCGATTTAAAGGTATTTAGCGATTGACTGTTTACTACTGTTTGTGGGAGTTGATTCCATTCATTAATTGTTTGGGGATAAAAGGATTTCATATAATAGTCTGTTCTGGCATATGGAACGTGCATCTTAAAAGTATTATCATTTCTTCCTATTCTGTTCGCTCGTGTGCACCTATTTACTTCTCCTACATTAATCAAGTTATTTACAATCTTATAGTAAAAAACAAGTCTATGGTACTTTCGTCTATTTTCTAATAAATTCATTTTGACATTTTGTAATAACACGTTATAACTCGTAGACCAATCCTTACACATCATCCTTACGTAACGTTTTTGAATACGTTCAATCCTCTCTTTGTGTGTGTTTCTATAGGGATCCCATGCTGTACAACAATATTCTAAACGTGAGCGAATTAGTGATTCAAAAAGACTTTTTAAAATAGACTTTGGACAATTAACAAAATTCCGTCTTATAATTCCCATGATCCTGTTACATTTTGTATATAATTCAGTGCAATGGTCGTTCCAGTTTAAAGAATCATTTATTACAAGACCTAAGTATTTTTCAGACTTTACATTTGTTAACTCCTGTCCATTGAGAGAATAATTATATGTTATATCGTGAAGCTTTCGAGACATTTTCATAGTTTTACACTTTGATACATTAAAGTCGAGCATCCATGTTTCAGACCATTTACTTAAAACTTCTAAATCATTTTGTAATATCTTGCAATCATCTACATTGAAAATTGGACGGTACAATATACAATCGTCCGCATATAATCGAATAGTTGATGAAATATTATTAGGCATATCATTAATGAAACATAAAAACAATATCGGGCCTAAAATTGTTCCTTGCGGAACGCCTGATTTAACTTTGATCCGTGAAGAACATTCGCCATTTATAACCACCCTTTGATATCTATTCTGTAAAAAATTAATTATCCATTCTAAATTTTGAGATCTTACACCATACATTTCAAGTTTTGTTCTTAAAAGGTCGTGAGGTACACTATCAAACGCCTTTGCAAAATCAAGGAAAGCAATGTGGACGCTTGAACCAGACTCCATATTATAACTCCAATCATTAATTGCTTCTATAAGTTGTGTTTCACAACTTCTTTTTTCCCGAAAACCATGTTGATTGTCACATAGTATATCATTTTCATTAAAATGTTCAATAAGACGTTTACAAATTATGCGTTCTAAGATCTTGCATGTAATGGACGTAAGAGATATAGGGCGATATTCCTGCCTAGCTACAAACTAACAGGCCACTTTCAAAGTGAAATACGCTGTGAAGTTAACAGACGATTTTCATTTGAATTATTTGTTATACCACAAGTCTAATGACGATGGAAAGTTTCTATATTACAACTAATAAATACCATGGCCAATTGCAAAACTAGTTGTCTATGTCCTTTTTCTTCTTTCCAGGTGGATAGAACAATAATTACTTTTCGCTACCATGCGTCTGATAAAATGGGCAGTACACAGTGCTTACTTTCACAGGAGGCAAGCGAAAGGAAATGAAGCAAAATTTCCTGAAATATTAATCAAAATTACTCGACTGTGCATGTGTGGGCACTAATCCGACATACAACATCCTAAAGAACTGTACATGAACAAATTCACTTTTTATTTTCGTGAGCCAGAAGTAATCGGAAAAGTGTCAAATTGCAGGTTTTAGGAATGTAATTAAGAAAAAAAAAAAATCACAAATTAAAACTGCTATTATGCAATGTAAGCAAATTTCTTGACACAATTAGGCTTTTGCATTCATATTTAATCAAAATATTCTATTTCCCCCTTGTTAGTTGAAATAAAAATTGAAATTTTAACGATATTTCTTTGTGAACAAAAATCACAACTGAACTCAAGCTTTCCAATGATATTGGCGGCTTCAAACCTCGGACATCAAAGGTTCGATTCTATTGTGCAACCTTTGAAAACGGCAGCTGCTTAGAATAATTTGTTGCCAGTTGGGACTCCTTGGTAACATTTGTGCCAATAAACCGGTTTACTTACTTATTTCACATGTATGGATTTGTCTTTCCTGAGGACCTGGTGACGAGCTATTTCATTAATCTGTTATTAATGAATGAACTACAATACTTGGAATCCTTTTTTTTTTTTTTATAAATGTAATGCTTCCTGGGAAAATTTCAATAGTTTGAACATATTTGTGGCAGGTTCAAATCCCGCTGGTTCCAAGATTTTTTTCTGACTTGTTTTTCAATTACAGATCGATCAATCGATCTTATTTACTGGGTGTAAGCCACAAATATGTTCAAACTTGGAATCCTGTCTAAATACATTATGTGTCACTATGTCGGGCAAGCCTCGAGCATATCTTACAGGAAATCAAGAACAATCTTTCTTGAAACAGTATGCATACACTTTGAATATATTCCTAACTGGTTTACTCTAAGCAAATTTAAGATATTGGGTATGATGCCAAAAGAAAAACGAAACAAAACAAGCTGACCAAGAGAAAAAACAAACAAGGAAACGCCAACATTATGGAATGAATTTATACGTTTTCAAAATGGTCTCATACTAGTTGAAGAGCGAATATTTGTCAGTGAGTTAATTGTGACTTTGTTCTTCTCCGCAGGAATCTCGCAGGTAACGACATCGTTACATTTGAAATGGATATCTTCAGAGGACTCGACGGGCTCCGACACCTGTAAGTTTGCTATCGACTTGAAAACAAATGTAATTAAATATTCCTACCATGTTAATATCAGTAGTAGAACCGAAAATGGTGATATAAAAAACCCAGCCAGAATAGAACAATTAATAATAATACTATTTTTTCCCGACTAGCTAACGAAGCGCGAACTTTGCAGCATGAACTCAATACGAAAAGAACTTTCTTTCTTCACCATTGCCAGCGAATGAATTTCGTCAGCTATTAATTCGTTTGAAGAGATTTTCCCCCTAATCGAGATGTGGACTGTTGGTCATGAAGGTGGAATCAATTTTTTTACTCCAATTTATGGAATGATTTTGACAGTGGTTTATTATTAATAGATATAGATAATAGTTTACATTCTCAGATTTTATTGAAAAGCAAAGCAATAGCCTCGTAACTGTGAGGACCCAGGATCAAAACCGTGTCGATGTGCTATATTAGTGCCCTTTTGCGAGGCATTAATCCTCATTACTGTCAGTTATGACCTAAGGGCGTAGGTCCCCTAGTTGATAAGCATAGTAGCGTGCATGCTTTATCAGTCACGCAAAACAAACACTCGCAAATTGTTATTCAATAAAATCTGGGAATGTATACTAAATCTATTAGGAATAAATCATTTTCAAAATAATTCCATAAATTGGGGTAAAACAAAATTATCACACCTTTATGACCAACAGTATATATTCCGCCGGCCAAGGTATTCATTCATTGCAAAGTTCGCGCGTGTTCGCTCATTTGGAACTTGACCCGATAACGAGAGAAATCTTATGTCCTCCAATAGTGTCTCTCATTGATTGTCGATGACGAAAAATTGAAGTAGGATGGCATCGAAATCAAATTGATAATTCCAAGATTATGGATAGGCCTTATTGAGACGTGTTGAAGATAAAACAAATATGTATGTTAAACATTACCAGAGCCTGAATATTAATGCCTAAACCCGAGTGCTTTCTTTTCTCTCATTCATCAGATCATCAGACCGATTCTTATTTTGCTGCATTGTGTCTGGTCTTGAGAGCTGCTACCCTCCGGAGGACCAATTCTCATCGTGTGAAGACCTGATGCGATCCGATGTGCTCCGAGTCTTCATGTGGATACTCGGTGTTAGTGCATTTATTGGCAACATCTTCGTCATCATAGAACGAGTACGAGAGAAGAAGAATTTCCGCGTCCAATCTTTCCTGATCTTCAACCTTGCTATATCTGACTGTCTGATGGGAGTCTACATGCTCATCATTGCCAGCGCGGATGTACACTATAAGAGTGTATACGTTTTCCATGCAGAGAGTTGGAAAGCTAGTGGCATGTGCAAACTTGCTGGAATCTTAGCCAATCTTTCCAGTGAAGTATCAGTGCTTATTCTCACTATAATAAGCTTAGATCGTTTCCTCTGCATCACATTTCCCTTCTCACAAAAGCACTTGGGAAGGAAATCAGTACGCATTACAGCAGCAGTGATCTGGTCAGCATGTCTTATCTACAGTGTAATCCCAGCCCTACCTATCCCATATTTTGGAGAGAGATTCTACGGACGTTCCGGTGTATGTCTCGCTCTTCCGTTGACCAATGTCAAGCCTCCAGGGTGGCAGTATGCCATGAGCGCCATCTTCATCAACTTTATTGCCATGGTAACCATCATTGGCTGCTACATTGTGATCTATGTTGTTGCTAAGCGATCGGGATCAACCGTTAGGAACAACAAACAGATGGCTTCAGAGGTAAAGATCTATTTATTTATGTGTTTTGTAATCATGATGATGAACGTAAGACATACGAATGTAAAGAGAGGCCTATACACGCATCTTGTGAATGGGGATGCTCTATCCAACATCCCGCAGTATTGATAATGTATAACTGTGTACGTCTTTCGATTCTAACATCATTTCGATAGTGAAAGATCATGAAAATAATTCTGACGTATGAAACATGACTTTGTAATCATTTCTGTAGCCCCTAATCTGTTGTATCATTCTCTGTCTTTTGCTTACAGTTTAAATTGGCGGTCCGAACTGCAATCATCGTTGCTACAGATATCTGTTGCTGGTTACCTATCGTCATACTAGCATTTGTTTCTCTCTCTAACTCTGCCATCATACCACCGACGGTGTACGCCTGGATTGCTGTCTTCGTTCTCCCAATCAACTCGGCCATCAACCCATATCTCTATACCATCTCAACGGTCGATGTCAAGACCAGACTGGCGTCGTATCGCACTGGTTCGAATCTCTTCTTGGGCAGCAACAGCAGTGGCAAAAATGGAACTACAGGCAAAAGTGGAAACACCACGCATCTTGGACACAGTTCGTCAAGAGAAAATGGTTAGGAACAGAAATATCTTTCAACCCAATTTTCTTTTTCTAAAGTAAAGATATTTAGGAAGAATACAAATTGTCTGTTCTGCCAAGACGCACAGGCCTACAAGAAAAGATAAATTAGGGCAGGGAAGGTGTAGCAGACAGAGAGAAAACAAATAACCAAACAAAATCACAGACACAACGAGTCAACGATACTCCTAAAACTTTCGAAACAAAATATGGGAAGTGTCTTCTAGAATTGTCTACATGCTTACTATTATTTTAAAGTCTTTGTTGCAATGTATGAATATTATTCCTTTTTACTTTGTTGGTTTTCATATTTTCCGACACCTTAGATTCAACCACACCTATTCCTATGAACACAAGGAAGCCTGATCGTTTCATTCTATCTGATGCACTCAGCCTTATCGGAGCCAAGAAGCTTCACCTGACAATCGAGGATGTTCAGTCTGTTCGGAAAGAATTGCACGGTGTACTTGACATAATCCACGCATGCGCCATGACCCATGGGTCAATAGATGCTCATCACGTTATCATCGCGAAAGAGGAGGTTAGTGATTCATTAAAGCTCCAACAAAAAACATACGCTCTATTTTGGGTCATGTTTTTTTTTTTAAATGATGTAAAATAGTTAAAGTTGGAGTGTTTGAAGATATGTTAAGAAATTTCAAGATGTTCCCATTAAAAAAACACAAATCTCAAATAAAAGGCAAGTGAATTGTGCTATAGAAAGTGAAATTGTATTTCATATTCTTTGACTGGTTCGGGTGGTAAAGTTGAACATTTTTAGAACACATAAAATGTATATCATCATGATGCTGTATGAATTTCAAGAATAAACCAATGAAATTAGTGAATATTCCAAACAGCAGCCACCTAGGCACATTTATTGAAATATTATACAATTACTAGCCTACTTGTTTCTCTTGATGTTTCATGTCTTGTTTATGGTTCGTAATTATGAGGAGGCGCGAGCCCAGTCGTTCTGCAGGCCCTGACATGAAGGCTTCTAAATAAGCATATTTTTCGCCCGACTGTAAATTTGGGAATTTCTAATTTTCCAACAAACGCATAGCGCGATAGCTCAGTAGGTAGAGCAGTAGTCTCGTAATCCGGTGACCCGGGTTCGAAACCAAGGCGATGCGCTCACGGTGCCCTTTGGTAAGGCAGCAATCCTCATTACCAGGTCCCTCGGAGAAGACCTAAAGCCATCGGCCGTCTGGTTGCTTACTAACAAGCATTTATGCTTTCTTAGCACTCAGGTAAAATAACCAACCATCATATCGTAATTATGTCTTGCAATCCTCAGGAGTCGGGGAAGTGGACAGGCTCTCTTATTTTGACGTCTACACCCGGTGAGATGAAGGACAATTCTCCGACTGATGATGATGTAGATAAACTGGAAACTGTTATCGTAGAACTGACTGACGCACTGGGATTTGACACCGCTTTATAGGAGCTACGAAGGGACAGCGAATATAATTTGTCAGTGCCATTCAGTGCCTTAACCACGAGAAAATGTGTTAAGGAATGTGTATAACATTCTTACAGATAGTATTGTCATGGCATGGCATGTTTTTATTTCCCGTATTTCTTCACGCGTCAAAATAATTGCTTTATTTACTTGAACTAAGACTATTAGCACTTTCGATTTCAGCTGAGTTTTCTTCGTTTTTAATGCAAAACTGAATGTATGTTTATTTCTGTGCTATTATATTCTTACAAGTGTATATCATGCTAGGATTGTACTTGTATCTTTAATGTTTTTACGCTTTTTAGGGTCAAATTTAGGCCTCTTTTAAAGTATGGATAGTGGTAAAGTGAGTCCGTAATGGTATTGACTGTGCTAATGGTACATGCCACATGTGAAAGTGATTACTGTTTTGTAAAGTAATTATTGGTAATATTCCTCAAGGAAATGTTAGAGATGCTGAAATGTCTCATGATAGTTGTCAGTTATTTGAAAGCATTTATTATTGTTGTTTTAAGGTCAATATCTCATAAATTCGGGTGTACACGTGAGACATATTTTTCTTACGCTTTAGGATTTCATTTAGTAGTAATTGTAGTACACCTATACGCACGTACGTACAAATTACAAAGCGGAGTGATATTTTTAGGTAAAGTTTGAGTGATTCGCTTTTCGATTATCCTTGTTTAAATCGTTCTTGGTGTAACATCGCGATACTTGTTGTAATAGTTAGGAAAGAGAATGGATCATTGTAATGTGATTTATAATATGCTAATGATAGATGTTTATGATTCAGAAACAAGACAAAGACAAAGAAGACAACATTTATTGAAGTATAGAAGTGAAAGAAATAGTTACATGATAAGAGTTTGAACATGAATCTCAATATTTCTAGTTGCTTTACTCTAGTCTCAAACTTGATAAGTACTCTTTGAAGGTCATGCATTTACTTAAGTTTGCTTACAAAGAAAGCATTCTAAGAGAAAAGAACATATTACAGATGAAAGTGTAAAAAGTATTAATGCATTTTCCAGTTTAAAGAGAAGGTTGAGTTCTGGGAAGAGGTGAAAAATAATTTGTGAGCGTTACTCACTCTTATTATGCAAGTGTGGAAGAACATCAGATAAGACATGTTCCCTGAAAAGCATGGCTCTTCAAATACCTTCATATTCTAAATATGCATGTAACATCGTAAAAATTGGGGGGCCGGCTTTTTACGCCACGTGTTCGTGTAGTCCCATATACATCTTTCTGTGTACAGTGTTTGTAACTTTACCAAGACTTGGCCAAATTTCTTATCATTTTGATGATTCCAGAACCTTGCAATATACACAAATTCTTATATGCTAGATGATCAACCTTTTCTGGTCGGTTCCACACCGTTTTTTCACAATGCAATCACATGACCAGAACTCAACTTCATCTTTCAATAGTTTCAATTATTATTACTATGTGAAAGGAACAATTTGTGTACTTTGAAACAATATTCATTCTTTGTTTTACTATTCACTACAGGATTCACACACATTTGTTGAATATGCTATTCAGCACCACTACTGAGATACTCCCAAGTATTCTGCAGGATATTAAAAGGAAGCTAACTAAGCTCACGCCTCCTTTCGTGGTTACTGAAAACCCCCCTTTTGATTTTTAACCACCCCCCCCCCCCCCCACCCTTGAAAAAATCCAGCGTACGCCACTGTAAATATAAGTAAATATATATATATATATAAGCTAACTATTATCTTAAAGTGAATGCTGCTGCTTTTGAGGGGTGAGGTGTACATTAATTATTAGAAGAATAGTCGTTAAGATGCAAACTGGTCATCCAGCTAGTGTTTTAGAAAAGAGAAAGATTCACTCTCTATCTCTCTCTCTCTCTCTCTCTCTCTCTCTCTCTCTATATATATATAATCTGAGGGAGCGAGGTAGGGGAGGAAAGCAGATAAGGAAAGAAAGGAAATGGATAATGTAGGCGGAGGGAAAGAGAGAGAGAGAGAGATGGAGAGAGAGAGAGAGAGAGAGTGAGAGATGGAGAGAGAGAGAGAGAGAGATGAAGACTGAAAGCAGAGAGGAGATGAGATGATAGGGGAGAGAGAGAGAGAGAGAGAGAGAGAGAGAGGGGGAGAGAGAGATGGGATATGGAGGAGAAAAGCTCAATAAAGCAAAGTGGGATAAAATAGAATAAGAAGTAAAGGGGGTTTAGGGGAAAGAAGGATAAATAGACGAAAAATGGAGATTGTTTTTTTGTGCTACAGTAGCTATGTGTAACACGTTTATGAATGCATTTTGTTGGAGAAGAGAAACTATTTATTTTATTGATTGTTTTGTTTTGATTTTACATTATGAATATAAGAACTGATTCTGCATATGGTATGTGAATGCAGATTATTTATATACAATTTTTTCGATAAAAATTCCAGTAAAGCACATTATTTTGCTCTTTCATTTCATCTGTTATGTATCCATACATTTAAACGATTTCTAGGATAAAACCCAGTTGGTGCTTTTCTAATACTACTTGTTTATTTGTAGGAATTTCTAACTCATCGAACCATATGCCTATAAAGTCTCATTGTAAGCATTTAAATTAATTTTAAGGGTGTATTAAAAACAATTATATCATAATGTGGGTAGTGTTAGTAGGTACACTAGTTTCCAAAACTGGCAACTTCATACACATGATTTGAATGCATATCATCGGAGCAATGCAACTTACAACGAATGTGGCCATTTTCACCAAGCGTATATACTCTCCCCCATTTGTAATCCCGGGGAAATATTTCCATATACCTTACCATGATTCTACAGCTTACGGGGCTGTTTAGATGCTCACTTGTATCTGGTGACGACCCCCTTCCCCAATTACCAAATACTGGACGTACCTTTGTACTATCAAACGTTTGGTAGATATGGCAAATTTTAGGTGATCAAACTCGTTTGGGAGAAACTAATTATTTGTTTATAAAACATGTTGTGTAAAGCTAGCTTAGGTTTGTGAGTATTTTATTGTTTTATTCATTACCAGAATGTCAGAGTATGACACAAATTGTGAGTTTTGCATTGATATAACTTTGTTGGCATCTATTTCTTATTTTGTATACAAAGAATTTGAATTAGTTGATTAGTATTTTATGAGAATTACTATAAATGTATTGCATTTTTTGCATAATATTGCAATCGAGTTGTGAGAGACAATTCAATTTTTCAGTGCTTTTATTAATTTCATTTTCATAAATTATACATTTTAAAGATCAAGTTATAAAATTATTTAATTCATGAAGCAGTATCGAGAGAAAAGTGATGTATACGTAGACATCAAATGAGATGAATATACACACGAACAATAACATCAACAACTACAACATTCTTGCAACTCAATGTATCAAAAACTAAGGAAATGATCGTAGACTTCCGTAAGAACGTACCGGTTGACCATGTACCTCTCACCACACATGGTGACGTAGTAGAACAAGTTAAGGAGTATAAATACTTGGGAACTACCATCAAGTAATGTACATGCCACACAAAAGAAAGCTAATCAGAGATTATATTTCTTGAGACAACTCAAGAAAATGCACTTAGATACTACTATTCTTGTGTTGTTTTATAAGTCGATCATCCAGTCCATTCTCTTGTTGAATTGTATTCGGTTTTATGACAACCTAACATGTAACAGTAAGAAATCGCTAGACAGGCCACGGAAAATAGCTCAGCGAATCATTGGCATCGCACTACCCAACATGGACAACTTGTATGATGATGGTTTACTAGCAAAGGTCATGCGTACTATAAGAGATCCAACCCACCCTTGTAGTTTCAACAGATCTGCGGCCTTGCGTCCCCCGTACCAAGCGGGTTCGCTTGAGAAACTCGTTTGTCCCCGATTCCATCCACATGTTCAATTATTAAAAGTAAATACACAGTCATTAATGAGATCATATGATCATACAGTAAAAATAAAAGTATGATTTACTGTCTGTTAAATTAGTGTTGATTTTATTCAGATTAAGTTTAATTATTAATATGACTTACTCGGTGAGTAATGAGTAATATGTAATTCGAAGTTTGTTTAATTGACTTAATGCTTTATGTATTAAACCATGTGACAAAAAAATCCATTTATGTCGACAATAAAACAAATCAAATCAAATCAAAAGCCAAAACATAATCTCCCCTTTTAAATTCACAAATATACGACATAGTAGGGTAGACACTCTCATCACATTTCAAACATGTATGAAATGGAAACTATCAATGTATTATCAATCGATAACTGAATTCGATCTTTATTATTGATTATGAAACGGTGAGTCATTTCATCCGAGAAAAAAAAGCGTTCCAAAAATATTTCGCTGGAGGTATAGAGAAAATGAATGTATAGTGACAAGCATAATCGATGCGATAATTATTGATAAGTGATTTTTTAATAAGTCGGGGGCCATGACATTTATAAATTAAAAAAAACTAACAAACAGTAGTGATATTTTAATCTTCGACCGATTTCCAATTTAAAGTCGTAAGAAGCGTACATGGTGGTGTGTCGTAATCCTTATTTAAAATCAATCTCGCAAATCTTTTTTATATATCTTTTTTTCTATTTTATCTATCATACTGTCAGTGTTGATTTTGATATCTTTATTTAAATTCATGATGAGAAAGAATGTATCACGTTTTAAATAATTAAGTTAGATAGATAGTTGTATCGTTTAAGGTCATTTTCATAGGGGTTGAGATCGTGTTTTTCGTCCAATGATTAACATACCCGTGGTTCGTATGTTGTATTCCAACGACAGTCGATACAATATACATAAAATGCAGTTAAACAACCTTCATTTTGCATGTCGGTAACTTTTTGATCTGTTATGCAGGCTTTGTTTCAATCACGAAAGCATGAAGACAATATCACTTTATTTATTCTGCCAATAAAGGGTTTTATGGTATGCCAGGACATTGTTCTGCTAGCAAAAGTTGAATAATAAATGAAATATATAAGTTAAATCATTTTGTATCATCTTGTTCATTTGAGTCAATGGTCAAATCTTAAAGCGGTGAGTTTTGTTTAATAGTTTCTTTTTGGCGGGGTGACAGTAATAAGAGTAATATAATCGGAGGATTGTCAATATCATCAGTACTTTGTAGTTTAAAAAAAAGATCTTTGGTATAAATTATCTGTTTTATAGAGCCAAACGGGTAATATGTTAACACGAATCCGGAGTTTATACCCTTCCGGCTATCAAGAGACGATATTCAATCAAGCGTATTTTCGGTTATTTCGTTTCACCTTGTTAGCGTGCATGAAAATTGCATCAAAATGAAAGTGCAATACGAGAGTAATGCCCCCTTCACATACACGGATTTTTCTTATAAAGATAAAAGTCCGGAAATTGTCAAACTCAGAAGCATGACAATGACATGAGAAGCATGACAATATACCCACTTTAACTTGACTATAATCGCTACATTGTCGGACAGCTGATCTCATTTTCTAGGGATGAAATTCGTTGTTGTTCTCTAAATCCTGATTATCCTCCTGCACGAACACATCATTGTGTGATGGTGTGAAAGGTTTTATTCCTTGGATTAAAAAATCCTTAATCACTAGTTGTGAGTCTTTAAATTTGGTTAGTTCCTCGAGTGTCCATCACGAGAAGTGTACACTATAGCGTTAATGAATAGCTGCTCAATCAGCCATCCTGAAACAATACTCATTCAGCTGCCTGTCAAGTTGACCTTGAATGGTCTTCATCGATGTTTACCCATCTCATACTAAATGACTGGACCGTAATTTTGTTAAAGCTATTATGCTATATTACCAATCAACTGTAAAGCCCCTCTAAAGTGTTGGGAGCCCCACAAATTTGATGGCAAAATTCCACTTTACTTGTATCATAATGTGAAAGAGGGGGTCATTCAAGACACCTTTCTGCAAGGATGTTCGAAACAAATGTTTTTGAAATCGAATAATGATGAAAGAAAACAAAATTTAAGTATTCTGCTTACAACAGAAAACCCAAATCAATATCAATTAATATCAATATTTGTCTTTAAATACCCTTGGGGGGATCTTTGCAGGAGTGTATCTTAAAT